CGCGTCCATAACGTCATCGTCGCCGACGTCGATGTCGGGGTCGCCCTTGGTATTGCCGCCGTCGTTGCCTTCTTTGCCGTCGCCGCCGATCTGGGTGATGTGGACCCCGGATTCGGACGTGGGCACCGGCGCGGTGACCAGCACCATCGGGTCCTTGCTGCGCACGCGCATCACCAGCGCCAGCGTCGTGTTCGGTCTGTATAGAAACGACGCCGCCGCCGCCGCCAAGTTAAGATGTGGACCGCACGCACCACCGCCCACCGGTGAGGTACCTGGTGAACGGGAAGTCGGTGATGATGAGGTCGACGCGGATGGAATTGGAGGTGAGGTTGTGGCCGAATCGCTGGTCGATGACCTTGCGCTCGCTCACGCTGCCATGGACAAAGAAGATGCTGTCCGTCGTGTACGCGTGCCAGTTCTGGATCTTCGTGTCGTTCTGCGTGCGGTCTGTGTGTTGTGTGTGTGTGTGGTTCCACGCCAATCATCAGCATCACTCATTCCATGGAACACGACACGACACGACACGACACGACCAACGACACGACCAACGACACGACCAACGACACGACCAACGACACGACCAACGACACGACCAACGACACGACCAACGACACGACCAACGACACGACACGACACGACACGACACGACACGACACGACCAATGACACGTACTCAAGACATTCCAGGAGTCCCACACGGCCTCCTTGCCGGTGCTGTTGCCGAAGATGAACAGCTCCTCGCCGCGCTGGTAGCCCGCGAGCCCGTCCGTCTCCTCGTACTCGATGATGTGCAGGATCTCCACAATATAGTTCACGCTCAAATACCCGCCTGTCATTGAAATTTAGCAAAAATTATTTTAATTTCAAAACATATTCAATGACTATGTAGGAGGATATGGAAATAGAAAATTGTATAATAAATATGGGGCGGAGCGTACCACGAGGGTCGGCCAGGCTCCAGGAGAACTCGGCCTGGAAGATGAGGTTGTCGCTGCCGTCGCCCGAGAGCATGCGGCACGTGATCTGGTCGTTGGGCTTGCCAGTGGGCGGCGGGCGCAGCGCGTCCCGCTCGGCGTGGGAGGTCGAAGAAGAAGAAGAAGACGACGAAGCGCCCTTCACCGGGGTGAGACTTTCGCCGGAGGGCGCGGCCCTGTTTCTGTTTCGCTTGTCTAGCGTCGATGGTAGCGACGACGACGGCAATGATGATAAAGACGACACGCTGGCGCTACTGCTACTACTGCTGCTCGGAAGACTACCATTAGCACGACACACACGACACACACGACACACACAAAACACGGGAGCAAGCACCTAGAGGTGCCTTGAACGGAGACTACGTTGCCCAGTACGGACACGGTGTAGCTCCTCTCCGTGTCCACCGCTGCAAGAAGAAGAAGGTCATGCGAGCGTTACAACCACCGCACGACACACACGACACACACGCAAGCGGGAGAAATGGGGTTGGGTGCGTACAGTAGTCGTAGAGAAGAGCGCCGGTGCCCTTATGGGCGGTGCCCAGATGGAACACGAATATGGGGATGGAGGCCGCCAGGAGGGCGTTGACCACCAGCAAGAACGTTCCCACGCTGAAGAACGCCACCCCATACGACCTTCGCCCCCCCCCCAACGTTGTGTCAACATCGTCGCACGCAACACGCGACACACGCGACACGACACACGACGACACGACCAACGACACGCACCTTTGCTTGGCTTGCCGCTTGCGCTTGTCGGTGCGGAGGGTGTGGAGGAGCTCGTTGTAGGGGCGCGGCGGGATGAGGCTCGACATGCGCTCGGCCAGCTCCTTGACGTCGAGCTTCGATCGGAAGTTGAGCCGGGCCAGCGGCCGCGTCTCCGGGATCTCCTCCAGCTCGAACCCGCACTCGTCCGTCTCCACAACACCGTCGTCGTCGTCCGTGTCGTCGTCGCTCAGATCGTCGTCATCGTCGACGGCGCCGTGGGCCTTGCCGCGCGGCGAGTCGGGGTCAGACTCCTCGCCGGACTCGTGGGCGGCGAGGTCTCCGAGCTTCTCGCGCCGCTCGCGGAGCTGGCCCTTGAAGGCCTCGAACTCGTCGCGGAAGCCGGCCTGCATGCGGTGGTAGGCCTGCATGTGCTCCTTGAAGGCCTCGATCAGGATGGGCACGATCTCGGCGTAGTCGATCGACAGCCAGCCGTCCGCGCTCTCCTGCACAATCTCGGGCAACACTGCTCGCCCCCATTCGAATGTTGGTGCGTGCGGTCGTGCGCGTGCGTGCGGTGTGTGCGGTGCGTGCGATGTGCGTACCTCGCTGCACTTCCTGGGCGATGAGGCCCAGCACCTTGATCCCGGTGGGCTGCGAGTCGGGCTCCTGGTCCGACCCGTCGGCGTCGAGGTCGACGTACTTCTGCAGGTACGCAATCTCCCGGTCGATCTCGCTCACCTGCGCCGAGGCGCCATTGATCGGCGAACCTGCACCCGGCCTCGGTCAGATCCGCCTCGTGTCGTGTCGTGTCGTGTCGTGTCGTGTCGTGTCGTGTCGTGTCGTGTCGTGTCGTGTCGTGTCGTGTCGTGTCGTGTCGTACCGGCGACGTCCTTGCGCCAGGTGTAGCGCTTGCCCTCGAGCTGGGAGAGGGTCTGGATGGCGTCGACGACGTCCTCGACGGAGGTCTTGAGCCGCAGGTCGGAGTAGTGGAGGAAGGCCTGCGCGCGCACCAGGCCCTTCACGTGCACGCCCGTGCGGACCGACACCCCGCCCGGCCGCGCCTCGACGGCCTCCGGGTGCTGGTAGAAGTCGTTCTCGCCCTCCGACGAGTCGTCGCTATCACCTGTTTCGGGTAACACACACGACACACACGACACACACGACACACACGACACACACGACACACACGACACACACGACACACACACGAGTGTCAGTACAAAGGTAACGCGAGTGGGAAGCAGTGGCAACAAAAGTGCGTACCCAGGGCTTGGTTGACTGCGTTGCTCATGCGGATGCGGCTGCCGTCGTCGCCGCGCATGCGCTTGCCCTGCAGCAGGCCGTCGGACGAGTCGTAGCCCGACGAGCCGACGGAGGAGGAGGAGGAGGAGGCATAGGAGGCCGACGAGCGCGCCGAGCCGAGCGCCACCTGCGAGTCGACGCGCATCGGCAGCTGGCCCATGAGGCTGGCGATGTAGCCGCCCGACGGATAGGCCGCGGCGCCGGCGTCGAAGCCCGCCACGTTCGACGGCGCCCAGTCGGGGTTGGGCACGGGCTGGTGGTAGAGCTGCGACGCCCGGCGCTGCTGCGGCTGCTGGTCCTGCTGCGATGGCAATTGAGCGGCGTAGGCAGTCGACTGCGCGGGCGGGAACTGCTGCTGGTGGTTGTAGTGCTGTTGTTGCTGCTGGGGCTGGCCGTGGACGGACTGCATGGATGGCTGGCGGTGGAGCACCACGCGCGATGGCTCGGCGCTGGACTGCTGGAAGGCCTGGATGACCGGCGTGGCGGCGGCGCTCTGGTGAAACTTGAAGTGCTGCTGCTGCTGCTGCTGCTGCTGCTGCTGCTGCTGCTGCTGCGGTTGGCGCTGCAGCGCAGCCGCCCCGCTGGTGGTCCACAGGGAGATATCCTGCTGCTTCTGCAGCTCGTTCTGCTGCTGGTTGTACTGGTACTGGTGCCACATCTGCTGTCGCTGCAGGCCCGGCGCCGTGTGCTGCTGCTGCTGCTGCTGCTTTTGCTGTTGCTGCTGGAGGTACTGGGCGACCGGGATGAACGATGATTGCTGCTGCTGCTGCGGTTGCGCAGTCGGGTGCGCGGGCTGCGGGTGCTGGCTGTAGTGGTAGTTGTAGCGGTGCTGCTGCTGCTGCGCCGGTTGCTGCGGATTGGGCGGAGGCGAGGTGGTGGCGCCGGCCGGCGACTGGTAGTCGGGCGACGAGTGCGACGAGTACGACGGCGACGAGCTCGACGGCGAGCGGCCCTGCGCGCCCGAGACGTGGCCCGTCGGCGATGTGTTGCCGACCGCGTGCTGGTGGTACGACTGCTGGGGCTGCTGCGGCGGCGGCGGCTGGTGCGACTGGAACGACGCCGCCGGCGTGGCCTGGTGGGGCAGGAGCGGCTTGAGCTGGTGGGGCGGCGGGGCGGGGTTGAGCTCCCACTCGCCCTTGCTCGTCTTCTTGCCCGTGTTGTGGGTCTGGAACTCGACCGAGCAGCCGACGAGCTCGTTGTTGTTAGTGGTTGATGACCACGAAGACCTGGAGCTGCCGCGAGATCTTGGTGAGCTTGGCGATCACCTCGCTCATGTAGCTCGCCGTCTCCGGCAGTTGGTCAGGCTACGCGCACACGCACGCAGCACACGAGAAGAAACAGTTCGAGCTTCGTCAGTCTCAATGTCTGCGGTGCGTGCGATGTGTGCGGTGTGTGCGGTGTGTGCGGTGGCGTACGATGGCTTTGACGGGTTCGGAGATGGACTGGAGGGAGAGGCCGTCCTTGCTCAGACGCACGCCGGGCAGGGAGGCGACGGCGACGGCGCCCGCGGGCGCGGTGTCCTCGTAGTCGGCCAGGTAGACCTGGACGTCGGTCGGCCGGTAGGGCAGCAGCGCGTCGACGGAGAACCGCAGCACCTTGCCTCGGTTCTTCGTCACTCTGATCTGGTCCTGGGCTGCGACCGGCTGTACTCCAACAACAAACAACAACAACGTGCAACATGCATTGCAACGCATGACACGAGGCAACACACATGCACACACATGTAAATGAAACACGTGTGACCGGCAGCACACGACACACGACAACAGACGGGGTGAGTCCCGACCAGGGTTTGCTTTCTGATTGAGTACTCGTGAGCGTACCTGCCAATGCCAGCCGCCTTCGGCGTTGCGCACGCGGTGCGAGAGGACCACCCGCACGGCGAACGCGGACGGACTCGGCGGGTTGCTACTCATCCTCTAGAGGTGCGGCCGCGTACACGACCTTTTATCATCGACCATCAAACATTAACAAATTGGAATTGAACAGGCAAGAGAGAAGCAAACAAGATTGCAAAATGAATGTGATTCAATTTCACCATTTCATTGAAGGCAGAATCGGGAGTCGTACCAACAAGCCGGCAAAGAGGGATGGCCTCGATCGAGACTAGACGCGGAGGGGCCGACGCGTGAAGGTGCAGGGTTTGGTTGTTTGTTCTCCACCCGCAGATGTTCAGACCACCCAAATTTTCGCCCGCAACTGGATTTCTTTTTCATTTCTTTTCTTTTCCTTACCAAGAGTTCACACATTCCTGAAATTCTTCGCATGCCAAACATGCATCAGCGGGAAATGTCAGGGTACTTGTCAAAGCATGTCACGTGTTGCCCATCATCATGCACGGAACGCAGCGGATTGGACGGGACGACCACAACCGGCCTCTTCGCCGTACCCCCGGAACATCCCCAAATGTCCGCGTGAGCTAACTGGGCTTTGGTGGGCTGCCCGCTCATCTCTCCTCTTCTCTTCTTCCGAGCGCGTGCGCTCCCAGGCAGCTCCGGTCTCTTGCCACCTCGCCCAGACCTGGAACGAGACGCGCGGGCAGAAAGAGATAGATAGCCGATCGCGAGCAAGAGGCAAGAAGAGACAACAACAACAAAAGTGAGAAGATAAGAGGGAAGGGAAAAAGAAGGGACGCGCGTGTACACAACACGAGCCAAACAGTCGGACCTAAAAGAACGAAGGAGGAGAAAAAGCGAAACACGAAGGAGGGGTTGGGGCGCAACACAAGCACACTCGGCATCTGCATGGAACAAGGACCAGGACCCTCGGCCAAGCGCCAGCGGCTACTCTCTTCGGCGGAGGAGGACGGGGCAGACCCCCTGCGGCACATGATCCGCAAGGACGAGGCAGAACTAGACCAGCATGGAACAACATCATCAACAACAACTTCTGCTTCGTCATCAACTTCCTTTGAATCAATCGTGCAAGACGAGGTGCGGTATCGCGGATGGCGACACGCGCCGCTGCCCCCGGCCGTGGCGCGTACCCTCCAGTCCAGGGCCGAGTGGGCCAACGGGGTGGGGGCGCATCAGCAGAGGTGCGCCGAGGAGGCGGTCCAGCGGAAGCAGGCCGAGCTCGATCGGACCAACCACCTCTACAAGGCCCTGGCTCGCAAGAGCTTCCAGCTCAGCGTCACCCTGCTCCACCGAGATGATGCCACCAGTAACTACCACCAGCAGCAGCAGCATCCGCCCCCATCCTCTGCCACGACGCCATCATCCTCCTCACCGTCGCACCCGTCCAACGGGATGCCGCCACCGTTCGACATCCACAGAACCATCGTGCTACCCGCCGGTACTGCCCTCGCTCTTTTTTTCCCCTCTTTTTTTTGCTTTTATCCACAATTACTCCATTTCTATATATATGCTATTTATTTATTTATTTGTGCGAAAGTTCCTGTGTGGTCTGTGTTTATTTTTTTTATATATATATATATCTTCGCTCTTGGAGAGAAAGGGGGACACGTAACATGCGAGTGTCCTTATTTGTATTTCTTGACAAGTACGCTGACAGCCCCGCTATTAAGGCGACATACTGTGTTAGTTAACCTGGTGCAAATTTTGCCCACCTATCAACCTTTTTGGTGTATATCAGTTGCGGTGCCTCACACTTTCCCATCTCACCCCCACCGCCTCGCCCCTTTTGCCACCCTGGTCTTCTTCAGCCATGCCATTGGCCAAGCTGCACAAGACCCTGCAGACGGTGATGGGCTGGGAGGACACCCAGAAGTACACGGTACGCAAGCATTCCCGCTTTGATCGTTTCTTCTCTTCTCATTGGGCCACCATCCCGCGCTTACCACGACTTCGTGCGTGTGCGGTTGTGTGCGTTCCGTGCGGTTGTGTGCGTTGTTGTTATCACACATCCAGTTTCTTACTGGCGACGGCGTGCCGATCGCCAAGTACAACAAGGACGACATTCCCTGCCTCTCGGACAGCAAGATTCGGCTGGCCTACATCGTCAAGGACCCCGGCGATGAGGTGTGTTTACCCCCCCCCCAACATTCCATTCCTCTTTCCTTTTTCCGTTTCTATTGGCAGGAGCCAATCAATTCTGGCGAGTGCGCGTGCAACTCTCTCGTTCTTTTAATATTGAAAGCGTTGCTTCTCGCCCACCCACAGCTCTACTACCAGTACGGCGAGTGGATACACCGACTTCTCGTGGAGACGATCGGCGCCCCGCGACGGAACATCCCCTCCACCCGCGGTACCGCAGCACACTTCAGTGCTGTGATGGCGTGCAACTATGATTGTTTCGTGTGGTGCTCGATTCACACCAAGTGCTTACCGCCTCTCATCGTGTTCTCTCTCTCTCTCTCTCTGTGTGTGTGCGTGTGCATGTGTGTGTGCAGTCATCTCGGGAACCGGACAGTGCCCGCCGGACGACAGTACACCTTTCAGCTATGCTGCAGGTACTCCCTCGCTCCTCCGCCTTCATCGAACACGGCAGCGGCGCCCTGCGGCAACTCCGGTGTATTTAAAAATCTGGTTCACTATGTTTCACATTTTGTCGACATGTTCCTGTCGAAGATGTTGTTGTTGTTAGCTTGTCGACATGTACTTACGTATTGTGTACTGCCCGAAAGGTGTGACCTCGCTGGGCGGAGAGACGCGGCCGTTCTCGGTGGACGCGGTCAACGCGCAGCTGATGGCGGGCCAGACCTTCTACATGCGCATCCCGGCCAGCGCCAGCAAGGAGCACGAGGAGTTCGTTTGCCTGCGCGCCATGCGCACGCCCGTCAACATCCTCGCCGCCCCGACCGCCAACCTCGACCCTGTCACGTCATCGTCAGCGGCAGCGGCCGAGGCGGCCTCGATCTCGTCGGCCACCCGATCGTCGATGAACTCGGCCACCTACTCGGCGCCCACGTCGGCCGGCCTGCCCTCGATGGCGCCCTCCCCACCCGTACCCACGTCAGCCTCGGCATCGACAAGAAAGGGACACCCGCCGCAGCCTCACCACCACGCCGGCGACCACCACCACCGCTACCACCAGCAGCCTCCACAGCACCACCAAGCCCCGGGGCAGAAGCGGGTCTCGGGGTCGTGGGACTCGATGTCATCGTCGCCAGCGTCGTCTTCTTCGTCGTCGGGGTCGCTACCGGGTGGCCACTACTACCCGTCGTCCCTGCAGCACCATGACCTCGCGACGTGGCGCGACGAGGCCGTCGAGCAGCAGCACCAACGACACCTCTCCGCGCCCTCATTCTTCTCATCGTCGTCGTCGCCCGCCACGCCCGCGAGCGGCGGCGGCTTCTCCCCCTCGGCCGGGAGCTGGCTCTCCGGCTCGTTCGGCATCCCGCGATCGACAGCACTTCCGTCGCTGCCGCCCTCGTCGTCGTTCTCCTCGTCGTACCCGCCGTCGGAGGAGGACGCCGCCGACGACCACCTGTACTACGCGCGCGAACGATACCCGCCTCCACCTCCAGCCGCAGCCGCGTCGCACTACCAACAGCACCACCAGGGCCAGCAATCGCACCAACAGCGCTACCAGCCCCATCATCATCAGCAGCAGCATCAGTTCTCGCACTACGGGCCGTCGTCGTCGTCGTCGTCGCTGCCGTCGGACTCGAGTGTCGGCCCGTCACCGTCGCTGCTGTCCTCGCCCTCGCACCTCCTGCCGTTCCCCTCGCACACGCTCCCGCCGTTCCCCTCATATCTGCCCTCGCCCTCACCGTCGTCGACCGCCTCGGCGGCCATGTCGATGATGCGCTCGCGCTCGCCCTCGCCGCTCTTCCCGCCGCCCTCGTCGCTCGGCGGATTCTACCCCTCGCTCACGCCTTCGCCATCATTTTCCTCGTCTTCGTCGTCGGCGCTGCTCGACCCATCGATGCTCGCTGGCGGCTCGGCCGAGCGCCTGCCCCCGCTCTCCGGCACCGCCGCCCTCTTCTCGCCCGAGCCGTCGCCGCCCTTCATGTCGTCATCATCTTCATCCTCTCCCGCCTCCTCGTCGATCAACACCGCGCTGCCGCCCTTCCCCATGGCGATCTCGCCGCCCAACTCATCCTCGTCGTTCTCCCCGCAAGTGCTCGAATCACTCTCATCGTCGTCGTCGTCACCATCACCATCATCCGGATATCCCTACCACCATGGCCAGCAGCAGCAACAACAACACGGCGGCGAGCATTCACCAGCGAACAACTCATCAGGTGCCAAGCTATCGCACGCGGCCACCGATGTCGAACAAGGCGATCATGGCGGCAACGACTGACCGCACGGGGCGTGCAGTGGCGAAGCTGTCGAGCATGTTTTTAAATCAATTCAGAGAAGAGAAACAAAAACCCATCTGTGGCGTTTGTCTGACTCGAGCGGCCACCGAATGCTCACCACCCTGTACTCCGTTTTGCTCCGTCTTCCTTTACAACATGTTGGTGCGTTGTGGTGGAGGCCAGGTCGTGTGCTTGGGCTATTTTTCCGCGCTGGAACGATTTCGGAATGAGAAAGGCGAACAACCGCGAGTAAGGAAAACAAGGCCCGACGAACCGCCCAATGGCCGTCTTCCCAGTCGACATTAAAATTGGTAAAAGGGAAGTTCAAAGGACTTCGGAACTGCATCAGCCAATGGGCTTCTGCCGCCGTAAGACCGGTTACCGTTGCGAGTGATGAGCTCGGTTTTAGGTCTTATCTGACGCTCGTCTGTTGACACTGACGGCCTTTTGTATATTTGGTGCCCACCAACTGGGGAGTCGGAGAGAACATGTTCAGGCCAAGGACTTCTAAACATGCAGCACAGTGTACACCGCGCAGGAGTTCTGTCCAGAAAAGGGGTTACTCCTGCGAAACTGAAATCCCCTCAACCCGCCTTTTCCCCTGTGTAGGCCTGGTATTGGCCGGCGCGCTTGAGCACCCACGACAGGGTCCCCAGAGAGCGGGCGGCCAACGCTCCTCGCCTCATCTAGGCTGGCCGGTGGCGCCGTTCCGCTCCCCTTTCGCTCTCGCTCTTTTCGTGCTGTCGGCCGAGTGGTTGTTGTTCGAATCCGCAACTGCGATCCGGCCAGCGCTGACGACGGTTTGTGGCGCGTGGCTAACCCGTTCGAACCTCAAACGAGCCGCGCCAACAACGAAAGCACAACGCACAGCCGCCACAACAACGACGACACAACTTCTCCTTGGCACCGTGCATACGCGCACAGAGCACACCTCTGGCTAGACCTCCACACCATCCACAAGCTCCGAGGCACAGCCACCACTACTCGCACGACTCGGTCCGTTCCTCCTCGATCGGCCGTTCGCGCATTACTCTACGGTAGCAGCGGGCGAAAACCTGAGGTACCGAGCGCGCCACACGACCCACCCAGATCGAGCCGCCCATCATCTCAACCACACCATCCTCATCCCACAATCATTCTCCATCTTCTTCTTCTTCGGTGATCGGCCCCAACCTGGTTTTTGCTGACTTCATTCTTTTCGTCATCTTCTGTCTGTCGTTTTCCGTCTCTTTTTTTCTCGCAGCTTCGCTATTTGTGTCGCAGCTCCCGCCAGAGCATCATCTGTCACCACGCTCGTCGCACAACCAGCCGTTAAGGACAGAACTCAGTACTCCACCAGCAACAACAGGCGCCGCCCGACCAAGCATCTCGACCCCGTTCCTGGGTCCGAAACACAACAAAACAACAACAAGCCCCTAGCATGAGCAGCAGCTGCAGAAGCAGCGACAACGAAGGCAGCGGCAGCCGTGCATCGAGTCCTCCCCGCCTCAACCACAGCCCAACGACGCACAATCGCGAGGGCTTGCCGTCATCTTCTCCGCCATCGTCTTCTACACCTGCACTACAACAGCAGCCCTTCCTCCAGCTGCCCCCGATCGAACTGGCGCCCTACCGCGACGGAGCCATCTACGAGTCGTCCCGGCTCGAGAGCTATCCCGACATGCCCTTCAACAGCGAGCTCACTGACAGCTTCCCGCCTCCTTCGCAATCTTCATCCTCTACTACTTCGACATCTTCCGCATCTTCGACAACGACGTCTTCCTTGGCACCGCTCCCGAGCAGCACCATCTCTTCGCTGGATGAGAAGATCTTGCACTTCACGACTACCCTCGCCGCCGCTGCGGCGGCCAGCGGCGACGGCAAGAAGGAGGCCAACATCGACGAGCTGCAGCGCAAGCTCCACTTCTACCAAGTCATGCTCTGGTACGCGTTACACGATCTCCCCCCCCCTCTTCTTTCCTTTATCACTTTTGATCCTGCTGCCTCGAGGCAGCAGTTCGATGGTCGGAATCGATCGACGTTACACACAAATCTTGTTCAAGTCCGTTTTTTATGCGTTTTTATTTTTATTGGTGTTCTCTACGTAGCGTGTGGGAGTCAGGCACACAAGCCATTGGATCCCAGCCTTTGGGCAGACCAGCTCTCTTACTTTTTCATTGTGGCCAACTACAGCCAAAACATGTCAACGTCAGTAGTTTGTTATTTCCAGGGATTTGTTTTGCATTTATCTGTGCCGTTTTATCTCTCCCGTTGTTTCGTTGTGCGCCGTGCGTGTTTCTCCATTCTGGCGCCAGCGTGCGACAGTGAAGAAAGACGCCAGCAATCGTAATCGCTTACTCATGCCACCGTCATATAATTATTGGCGATCATTATTGCTATAGTTACGCCCAACCACGACATCACACCTCTTTTCCATCATTTTCACAATATGAAATGTTGGCTGTAAATGCGTCCTATCTCTCGCCGAGATCTCGACTCTTATCTGTTACTTATCTCTTCTTCGTCTTTGTCGTCCTCTTCTTCTTCTTCTTTGCGCACAGGCTGAAGCGAAGTTACCGGCTCGGCGGGCAGACGTCGCTCACGAAGCGATGCGTCTACCAGGACTACAGCAACATGTGCACGGAGAGCGGGACGCCGTGCCTCTTCTCGCCGTCGGTGTTCGGCAAGGTCATCAAGCGCACCTTCCCCGATCTCCAGTACCGGCGACGGCGCATCAACCGTCGCATCAACGCGCACTACGAGGGCCTCGAACGGGTGGAGGAGTGCTTCGACGCCGACGGCCACCCGCGCGCCATGCCGATCAAGCAGGAGGAGGAGCTCCAGGAGGCCGAGCGCCTGCGGCTCGAGTTCCAGGACAAGAAGATCGGCGGCCGGCAGAACAAGCAGCAGCAACAGGTCAAGCGCGCCTCGCCCGGTGACGGCAACAGTCCACAAGAGACCTCGGCCGGTGCAGCCAAGCGTCGGCGAAAGAGCTCGACCGCCACCGCGTCGTCGTCGGGCATGCTCAAGGTCAAGAAGGAGAAAACCGGCAGCTCGCGCAGGCGACGCACGGGCGCCGACGACGACGACTACCTGCCCGAGGACGAGAGGCGGTCGGACTCGGACGATGCGAGCAGCAGCGGCGTCAGCGGCGAGAGCCAGCATCCCTATGACCAGGTCGCCGGCCCACAACCGCCCATTGACCACTTCTGGCGCGACTGGACCTTCCCTGGCGATGCCTACGGCGGCCCCGGCGGCGGCGACCTCGCGCGACACGAGATGATGCGCGGTCACGGTGGTGGAATGCCCGGAATGGGCGGTCACCCTCCGCACGGCGGCATCATGCACGCCGACGACTACGACAGCATGGAGCCCTCGTTCCAGTTCATGTCCTACCTTGAAGCCGGTTCGTCGCTGGCGTCCTACTCGTCGTCGACCACCTCCGCAGCGTGGAGGCCGCCACCCATGCCCAGCCACTCGCTCCTCCAGCAGACCCAGCAGCATTACCATCAACAGCAGCACCAGCACCAGGGCCAGCACCACATGCTGCCCCCGATGCCCAGCTTCCCTCCGCCGCCGCTCCACAGCGACTACCAGTCGCGCCAGCTGCCCTGGCCGTCGTCGGCCTTCGGCCCGGCGGGCGGCCTCTCGGGCGGCAGCAAGTCCAGCCCACCGCCGTCGACCTCGTCGACGCCATCTTCGTCGCACGCGCTGATGCCGTCGTTCCCGCTGCCGTCGACAGCGCCATCGAACTCGTCGTCGACGTTCCCCTCCTCCTTACCGCACGGGCCGGGCATGCTCGCCGCGTCCAACCACCAGTGCCCGTGCCCGTCGTGTCTGTCGGGCAGGCCGCAGTACTACCCCAGTTCCTACCACTAAGCACCAACATGTACAGATCACGATCGCGTCATCATCAACAATCAACCCCCCCGTAGAGAACCCCAACTATACAGCACGGTCTTCATTCCCTCACCTTCACCATTCTCCCACCTTCTCTCCCCTTCTATCTTGTCCCCTAATTGATTGACAACGCCTAAAACGCACCAACCAGACACCAGTGACCCTATCCAATGTTCGTATGGGAAATCGTTTTCCACCTGCAATCAGCAGGCAACCCAAACTCGTCGTGAATCGGCCGTGTGCTTGAGGTCTTTCATTCAACCCTGTGCACGAATATGGAACAGTCTTGCGGAAGACAAACATTTTGGCGCGAAAACGTGGACGAAAATTTCAAGCACAAGACGATTAGAGCGGGGGGGGCAATAATACACAATTGATGGTGCAAGGCAAAGATGGCCGAGGTGGAGGATGAGGACGACATTTTGCGGCCCATCCCCGGCATATCGCTCAGCGACACTCCACCAGTTACTACGGCAGCTCGATTTTGCAAGCAAGCCGCGACAAGATCGCACGATTCACGAGCGATGGTGACGGCTGCCGCGAAGCCGAGCAGGCGGCTCCCCGTAGAAGAGGAGAGCACACAAGAGGATGAAGACTTCGAGGCCGATACCGAGCCCTACTTCGCACTTGACCCTGAATCCCGTCCGCACGCGAATCGCGATGAACGCGGGTCGCAAGCCGCCACCCTCCCCTACTCCCATGTGGAAGAAAAGGAGCCAATCATCTCCGCCTCGCGAGCCTCAAGAATCGGGCACCTAGTGGCCGCCAAGGTGGTACCATCAGGCCATCTCGCATCGCGAATGATGCGCGAGAAGGAGAACCGGCACGACTTCCCCAACTCGCCCGCTGTAGAGACGCAACCCTACGTGCTCGTGAAAGCCACGCCCACTCCCTCCCTTCCCCATCGCAAGTTTGCAGCTGCGGCAGCCTTCAGCATCGCCACCGGCGCTACGCGCAGCAGCAAGCCGGTCGCCGCCTCCTCCAGCTCGGCTTCAACCACGACCGGCGCTACCGTCAGACGGGGCTTGCGCCTGCTCGACTCGCCCTACAAGAATGAAGCGAAGAGCACCAACGCTGTTCGGGCAACTGCGGCATCCACTTCGTCTTCGTCGTCTTCAGCGTCGGTGCACCGACCGAAACCAACTCCTCCGAGCCACCAGCAGCCGCCTCTGGCCAGAGGTTCTCCGCAGCTCCACGCCCATGACCACCAGGCGGCACCACCGGCTGGGCAGCAGCATCACCTCCTGGCGCTGCCGTCGCCAGTTCCCTCGTCGCCCGGCTCACCATCACGCCACTTCCGCCACTCGCCCGGCTCGCCGTCGCCGTTGCCGTCGCCGTCACTCAGCCCGACCTCGCCGTCGTCTCGCTCGCAGTCGCCCAGCATCTCGCCCTCGGCCTCGCCATCGCGCTGCGGCTTCCGCCTCTTTCCCTTCGGCGGCGTGGTGGACCACCATCATGACCACGGGCTCGAGCGAGAAAAAACAGAGAATGCCGGAAACGCACGCAAGCGCAAGAGCGTGGACGGCGTGCCAACGTCCGCGGGCGATGCCGTCAAGCGGGCCATGCGACAACAACAAGACGAACCGAAAGAGGAGGGGATGGATCAAGACCTGAGCCACATCTCCGTCTCCATCTGCTCGCCTGCACCTGCGCCTTCGCCGACGCCGACGACGCTCTCGACTTCCTCTCTATTACCCAGAGCGGGAGGAGCTGGGACTCCCTCCCTGCAGCAGCAGTTCACGTCGTTCCACTCGCCATTCATCTCACCCACGCAGCAGCTGGACTCGGCCCCGCCGTCGCCTCAGCCGGTCTCGCCCTTCGTTACCGATCATCACGACGCCACGAGAAAGCGCAGCCATCTCGGGTCGTCGGCGCCCCAGACCTCGCCTTCGCCGGCAGATTTGATTCTTTCACAACCGGACCACGCGCCAGCGGCGGCGAAGAGGTCGCGCCTGGCGCTGGACACGAGGAAGCGGCTTGACTTCTCGCACGGCGCTTGCGAAGACCATCACTCTGAGAGCGCAGTGGCGCAGTCGTCGTCGTCTTCGTCTTCTTCTGCGTCGAGGCGAGGTCAGCCGACCACGCCGACAAAGCAGTCGAGCATCAGCCGCTTCCTGGTGGCCAAGAAGCCACAGCAGCAAGGCTCGGTGCTGGGTCAGATGAAAGAAGACGGCGCCAGGCAGCCCGCAGCGAGCAGGAAGCCCGTTGGCGGTAACAGCGTGCCAGCGCCGAAGAAGAGTGTCGGCGACAACAATAAGGGGAAGGCTCCTCCCGCCATCGACCTGCTGGACGACACGATCGAAGTGGATGACGACTTCGAGATCGCCAAGCCGCGTTCGTCGACGACGACCAAGAGCACAACTACAACGACCACGACCACCACTTCCACGTCATCGTCGTCATTGTCTTCCAGAAGCGCCCCGTCATCGGCGGCGTTCATCTCGAAGGCGAGCAAGGCGAAGGCAAGGAGCCCGGTCCATGGGCCGGGCTGGATCCGGCGGATCGCCGACGAGCGCAAGCCCGCCGCGGGCGGCCGCGAGGCCAAGCGAGCGCGGCCGCCCGTTCCCTTCCTGGATCGGTCGGCCAAGTCGCAGTCGTCGCCGCCGGAGCTGGTCAACGCGCGCAAGACGCACCGGGTGCGCCCGCCCGATAGACGGGCCGAGACGCAGATCGACCTCATTGACGACGACAACCGCGACAGCGGCAGCGAGCGCGGCGAAAGCGAAGCGCAGGCTGGTGACGACGACGACGAGGAGGAGGAGGAGGACATCGACTCGTCGTGGGACGAGGAGAATTCGGCCGCCCTGTTCCTCGAGAAGGATCTGATAGGCGATCGCCGCATCAAGAACCGGGTCAAGAAGTCAATGAAGGAGCTGAAGCCTCTGCCGCCGCGGAACTCGTCGTCGTCCTCCCTGTCGGGTACGCTCGCCACCTTAACAATCACCTGAACAACCTACTGACGTCAGCGCTCGTTTTTTGTTTGCACAGCCGCGAGAAAGTTCCAGACCTCCAAGTCGATGAGCGACATCATCACCAGCACCACTGCCCAGGCCACCGCCGGTGCCGCTGCCGGTCGGTCGTACGGCGTCATGTCGTCGTCGGCCTCGTCAGCGAGCCTCTTCTCCACCTTCTCCCGCCCCACATCGCTCATCACCACGGGCAAGCGCAAGTCCGCGTCCGAGGACAGTCAAAGTGGTGGCGAGACGGCCTCGGACGAAGGCGTGATCGGCGACCTGTACACGTCGATCCAGGTCAACGCCGACCTGGACGCCGAGGCGGACCAGCCCGCGCTGCTCAAGGTCTCCCTGCTCAAGTACCAGCGGCAGGGCCTGGCGTGGATGGCCGACAAGGAGGACGACCGCCGCGCGGCCAAGGGCGGCATCCTGGCCGATGCCATGGGCCTCGGCAAGACCGTACGCTTGACCCGACTCTGCGACCCCACCCACCATGCGCTCGGGGCGCACCTCACACATTGCTTCTCATTGTGGCAGATCCAAATGCTGTCGCTGATTCTGCACAATGCGGCCAAGCCCGGTGCGGCGTGCAAGACCACCCTCATCGTGTGTCCGCTGTCGATGCTCGACCAGTGGCTTGACGAGATCCGCAATCGAGTCAAGGGCAGCCAGCTCCAGGTTTGTTTTGTTTGTTTGTTTCCATTATTGGTGGCATTTGCCGCAGCTGTGGCTGTGGCTGACACCTGGGCGCCGCCGCAGGTGAACGTGTACTACGGAAACAGCCGCATCAAGGACGCCAGCTGGCTCAAGAAGTGTGATGTTGGTATGTGCGCCATTTCCCTGGGTCTCCACACACTCACGTTTCTTTCTTTCTTTGCAGTTTTGACCACCTACGGCACGCTCGCAGCCGAGTTCGTCACGCGGGGTAAGGGCAAAAACGCGCGTGCGTCCTTGTCGCGTCCGCTGGGCTGCCTGGAGAGCGTGCCCTGGTGCGTACACACCCTTTCCCAGCCCGCGCACATGTGCCGTCCCATTCGCGCCTCACGCTCTGTTTTTTAAATCAGGTATCGAATTGTGCTGGACGAAGCCCACCTGATCAAGAACGCGGGCACGCGCACCTGCAAGGCCGTGTGCTCGATGCAGGCCGACAGACGGTGGTGCCTCACCGGTACAGATCGTTAACCAATGGCGCCGATTGCTCCAGTTCCTCACATGCTAACATTGATCGTTTATTTCTTTATTTCTTTATATTTATAATTTTGAAACAGGCACGCCTATCCAGAACAGCCTCGAAGATGTGTACAGTCTGCTCCATTTCCTTCGGGTGGAGAATTTCAACGACCCCTGGTGGTACGCTGTTCGGCTTCTCAACACAAATCTTGCATTCCTCTTGCTCGGCTGACTTTTGTTGCCACCCGCGCGCGCAGGTGGAACCTCATGATCATTAAGCCCATCCGTCGCAACGACTCGACTGGATTCGTGCGATTGCAAGTACGCGCTCTCCACCACCTCACCTGGCCTTGGATCGGCTGCTGACCGGCCTGCGCCTGCTGGGCCTGCTCGCCCCCATACAGAACGTGCTGCAAACGGTCCTTCTGCGGCGAACGCGAGAGCACAAGATAGACGGCCAACCCATCGTGTCGCTGCCTCCCTGCAAGATCGTGCAGAAGGAAATCGAGTTCTCGCCGATGGAGCGGCAGTTCTATGACACCCTCTTCAGTACGCCTACGACACACACGACGCACGCGGCACACAAAGCACGTGCTAACGCATTGCCCTCAAATAACACAGAGAACGCGCAGTCCGTGTTCAACGACTATCTGGAAAACGGCACTGTGCTCAATCACTATGTACACATATTGGAACTGCTGCTGCGGTACGTACGCCGCACTCCCCCCCATTGCGGTTAAAAGCTGACCAGGGACAATGGACTGGTTGGTTGGTTGGTTGGTTGGCACAGCTTGCGACAGTGCTGCAACCACTACTTCATCGTGCTGATGTGCCTCACGATGCCGGCCCTGCGCACCAAGCGACCAACGCTGGAGGGGCTCAAGGACGAGTATCGTCGAATCATGCGCCTGCTCGAGCTCAAGAAGGCCGGCAAGCAAAACAGCCAAGACGACGGGCACGCGGAGGAGGAGAGCACTCAACCCCTGGACGACGCTGGCGATGTTGCCGGTGATGCTGACGATGATGGCGGTATGCATACGCCAACGCGGAAGCGGCAATCGTCGTCGGGGACGGCCGCCACGGTCAGTCTCACGCCTACACGACGGAACGGGGCGTTTGACCTGCCCGTGCCGCTGCTTGCCGATATGCTCACGCCAGCGGGGGCCACTCGTCGCGCCGGCGGCAGCTCGGCAGCAGCCGGCGACGCGCCCGACGGGCAAGCGCAGATCTGTCCTATCTGTTTCAACGGGCTCGAGGTACCCTCCGCTCCACTTTTGTTGCTCGCTGGCTCGTCGGTGTATTAACACACGTGTCGTGTGTCGTGTCGTTGGTCGTGTCGTGCGTGTCGTGTCGTGGCTTCATATTAAAAGGACAATGTGGCGGTGGCGCCTTGCGGGCATCAGTTCTGCCGCGAGTGTATTGACGACTACTGGGAGAACGAGTACGCGGGCGAAAACTTGGGCCAATGCCCCGTGCAGAGCTGCCGACACCGGTTCTCCATCAACAAGCTGCAGGCCGTCGTGGCCAACGGAGGTTCTACCGACTCCTCGACACGCCGCAGGCTCGACGCCCAACAGCGGTCGACGTCGACGCGAAGCAGCGGCGCCGCGAAGGCCAAGGCGACGGCGGCGAAGGCGAAAGCGAAGACGAAGCGGCGCCAGGGCATGGAACTCGAGTTCGCCGGGCTCGGGCGGACCAAGACCGAGAGCCAGGAATGCGAAATAGGCAGCGGCGGAGGTGATGCCGACGAAGGGAGCGCTTACGATGACGAGAGCGAGGAGGCGTCCGTCGCAAACACGGTGGGTGGCGACTACGACGACGACGAGGCCTCGAGCGAGCGGGAGCCGCTGGCGAGGGGGCGACGACTAGACGGCAGCGACATCGGGCACACGTTCATGCAGAGCTCCAAGGTGAGCGCGCTCATGGAGGAGGTGCGGCGGATGCGCCAGGAGGACCCCACCAGCAAGTGTCTGGTACGCCTTCTAGTTGGTGGATGATAACACACACACACACACACACACACACACAACGCACGCCACTCACACGTACGCTCTTTCGGTCGTGTGCCGCAGATCTTCAGCCAGTTCACCATGTGTCTCGACCTCATCGAGCTGTCGCTCCACACCGAGAACGTTGACTACACGCGGCTCGACGGGAGCATGACCAAGGCGCAGCGTGTGTCGGAGATCGCACGGTTCAAGGCCGACTCGAGCGTGGCCGTGTTCCTGATCTCGCTGAAGACTGGCAACTGCGGCCTCAACCTCACCCACGTACGCTCCTTGCGCTCTTAACCCCAACAACGGCCACCGACACTGATCACTGAGTGTTGTTGGTGTTCGCTCCTCCAGGCCTCACATATCTTCCTCATGGACCCCTGGTGTACGTCGCATGCACCGCCGCACACGACACGACACGCACACGGCACGACACACAATGACTGCGCACGCACACTGCATGACACGTGCGTGTGTGGTGTGTTTGTGTCGCGCACAATAGGGAATCCGTCGGCGGAGCAGCAGGCCATCGACCGAGCGCACCGTCTCGGACAGGAAAGGCCGGTCACGGTCATCCGCTTCATCATCAGGGACTCGATCGAGGAGCGCATCCTCGACCTCCAGGACAAGAAGCGCAAGATCGCCCAGGGCGCCTTCGCCGGCGGTGCGTCGGACGTGGGCCAGCAGTCGCGCGGCCTCGCCCTCAGCGAACTGCGACAACTCTTCGAGCCGTAGTGACCAACTCTTCGAGCCCAAGAAGGAAGAAGAATGAACGAAAGAACGAAACGGAAACAGAACTGGTTTTCCGCAGAAGTTATTCTGTAAAAAATTCGAGCAAAAAGGTGAGTGGTCGCGGGTTGACGGAAAAGAATTACCGGCCACCCGAAACAAGCTGGCGTGATCCCAGCAAGCCCAGGCATGGCCCAACAACCACGGGGCGCCTGATGATTGGCCGATCTTTTGTTGATCAAGAATCTTAATCATTTGGTATGTAGAGTGGGTGAACGAGTTTGGGATTCCTGTGGTGGTTGAGGTCTGCGCCGACGATCCTAACTCACCTTCCAAACAACCGGAGCCAAGAACATGGGCAACGTTTCAGCAGAAAAGACGACGTAACAGCCTTCCTTCTTTTCATACAGCACCCAACAGACGCCAGACAACACCACCAGCTGCGCACCTCATCATCTGGCCTTTCTTCGCCTTTAGGATCCATCACTCTTCACCGTTGACAGCTCGCCCACCTATTTATCTGCAGCCCATTCTACATTCTTCTTCACAACCCAACACTTCAACACACAAAGAGCTTCACATGTAAGTCTCGCTTCCTTTCTTCTCCTCTCTTCTCTTCCGTGTCGCTTTCGCTCTTTCTCTTCATTCTTTATTGCTTTTTCTGCGGCCACGCAAGAGTGACGCTCACCACCTCACCTACCTTCATTCACTGCGCAGTTAATAGAACCAATATGTCGAGTATCAGCGCCATCCGCATGAACAACGCCGCTTCGTCTGCCTCGACCATGGCCGGCTGGCGACGGGCCTTTGGTGCCGCCTTCAACGCCCCCTACGGCTCCGCCTCGTCGTGGGCCAGGTACCTCCTCTTTCCCGCCCAATTATCTGCCGTTTTCTTCTTTTTATATTATATTATATTTTCCGCCATGTTTTCCGCCAATGGGGCAGCCACTGGCTGACCCTTCGCGCGATTCGTTCCACAGGATGAAGAACGCCGCGGCGTGGAGTGGCTTCTTCTTCTTCCAGGCGGCCATCTTCCACCCGTCCTCCCAGTTCCGAACCTCGTCTGCCCGCACCTCCACGCCCGCCAGCAATCAGCAGCAGCGATGGGCCAAGCAGCAGTAACCAACAATAACCAAGTCACCAGTGACCAGCCACAACTCGGTTGTTGTCCAACCGGTTGAGCACTGGGCCAGTGTAATTAGTGTACACCACCTTTGTATCTAGCCCCCAAACCAAAACCAAACCATCAATCAACTGCACATAAACAACAAAACAAAGCTGCCAAAGCTTCAACCCAGCTTCCCTTCTGCCTGGCATTGTTTTCGGTGAAGAGCATCCAAGAAAATAGTGGTGCACCATAGGTGGGTGGGTTCTTCTTGCCTGGTGGGTTGGGCATACAACCACCCCAACGAATACCATGAAGGGCGCCAAGAAGAAGTACGGACCCAGGGGGTTCATCCCGCCGGACCGCAACCAGCGCCTCGCCGCCGTGGCACTCCCCCGACTGGCCGCGGCCAAGGTTGTGCACTACTTGCTCGTTGGGACCTATCCTCATCTTCTTCTTCTTCTTCTAACCACGACCGCTTCCTTTCCTTCACACGGCCCTTGCCTTGCGTGCTGCGTTGCGTGGGCGAGCAGGATGAGAGGAGCCGGCGACTGCACGCCTACCTCGAAGAGGCCGTCCAGGACGAGACGGCCTTCCGCCCCATAACCATTCCCCAACGTACCTGACGCACTACTGCATGTGCCGTGTGTTGCGTGTGCCGTGTGTGCGGTTTTTTGTGCTGAGCGTGGGTGGGTGCAGCGGGGCAGTGGCTGAGCGACAATTTCGAGCCCGGCCAGCCGGTGAAGAAGTACATCAAGTCGGCCCACACTCTCACCACACCCAAGGGCCGCAGCGGGTACTGCCCTCCCCCACAATGCTGTGCATTCCTTTGATGACCACCGGCTGACGTGGCGTCGTGTTGCACGGCAACGGCCAGGTCGGCGGCGCCGGTGCGGGACACGATCTACCTGATCCCGATGGGCAGCTTCGAGGACGACCGCAGCCCGCCCCTCGAGGAGCTGCTGCGCTTCGGGGAGGCCTACCTGCAGATGCCGATGGCCCTCCTGCCGGGCCTCCACCTGCGGCCGAGCGACAGACAGCGCGAGACCCACCTTCAGGTGGACTTCCCGCCCGAGCTGCGGCCACGGTACGGTGCCCAGTCATGTACACCCCTTTTTTTATGTCCGGCATGAGTGTTCGGATCTAAAAAGCAGTGTGCCACTTCAGGAGTGCGGCGGCGAGGGATCAGGAGATCAGGTGGCGCTGGCACCACGAGCACACTAAGCGCAAGCAGCTTTCGACGCGCGACATCCACTCGCTCCTCCGCTCCGTGCTCCCCGATGACGGTGCGACGCAACACTTCACGCTGGCCCGCGAGTGAATTGTCTGACTGCTTGCGTGCAAACGCGTGTGCGGTGTCTCCAATCTCCAGGCTTTTGCTTGATCGCGCTCCTGATGGACGATCTGTTCCCTACCGACAACCCCAAGAGCTACGTCGCCGGCGAAGCCGACAGGTCCAACAGGTACTGGACGGGGCCACCTGGTGATTGACCAGAGCTGACGGTGGCGGCGGGCTCAGGTCGGGCGTGTTCAGCTTCTCCCGGTTCCATCCAGGCTTCTTCACCGACGAGGAGGAATTGCGGAGGCTGGCACCCAGCGAGAAGGCCGTTCTCCTTCGCCGATCCTGCAAACTCATGGTCCACGAGGTATCACACCTCTTCGCTCTTCTCTCTTCTCTCGTCTTCTCTCTTTCAAGTGTTCACACCCTCCCCCCCCCGCTGGCTTAACTCGTTTGTTGCAGTTGGTGCATCTCTTCGGGCTGGCCGTACGCCTCCCCTCTCGCATCTGCTGCGCTGTTCTTCATTATTTAATGATCTAATCTATTTATCTTTCTTCTTGGTCAGCACTGCATTCACTACCTGTGCATCATGAACGGGACGAAGGGCCTGACGGAAGGCGCCGGCAAGCCGACCCACCTGTGCCCGTGTTGCCTGCACAAGGTGTTCCTATTCAGGTGCGTGCGCCGGCCCGATTCCGTCACACACAACTCACCGCACGCACCACCGCCCACACTCATGACACACTCACCACCCGGACAGCTGCCGACAGAAACCGGAGGGCTTCGACGTTGAGCAGCGCTACCTGCAACTGGCCGAGTTCTTCCGGTATCTGCGCCGGTGGAGCCGCTGCTGCTGTGACGACCGCGCTGATGTCTTATGTCCTTGGGTGGCTGGGTGGGTGGCTCAGAGAGCACGCGGACGGATTCGAGCGAGAGCTGGCGTGGACGGCCACAGAGCTGTCGCGTCTGGAACAGTGCCTGCCTCGGCCCAGGAGAACGCACCCCGCCATGACTACGTCATCGGCCGCCGCGGCACCGACCAGCGGGGAAGAAGGGGCGGAGGAGGAATGCAATGAAGAAGAAGAGGGAGAAGAGGAAGAGGGCCAATGAGCACAACATTTTTAGCAAAATAATCAAAAGTGCGGCTAGTTTATTTTTATTTATTTTTAAAATTATTTACTGCGGACTTGGGTGGTCGCACAAAACGACCGGAGGCAAAAGAGCGAAAACGACAAGAGAACGAAGGAGGGCGAGTAGCACACCAACCAAAAGGGAAGCGGCTCTCTGGGGGTTGCACGGCCGACCAACCCCCTGCAAGGAGTTTAAAAACCGCCACAGCCGTGGAACTGTAAACTATTATCACTTCGTATTGTTGGAGAGGGAAGCACGACAGAGATCACATCACCACCCACAACCCATTTCTTCTTCTGCCTCTCCACTACAAATCAATCCATCCTCTCTTGGATTGATTTATTCCTTAATAATTATTTGATTTACCATTTAATCAATAATTATTTAATTCATATATTCGTGTGTGCGTGATGGATCTTCGGTCACTCTTTCACTCCGTCTTCGCTTCCTCTTCATCCAACGCACCTTCTCCCTCTCCCTCTCCATCCTCCTCCTCTTCATCATCTTCTTCCTCGTCCTCCACTTCGTCACCGTCAGCCACCCGACGTCGCCTGTTGAAGATGAAGAACAGCAACACCACCGCCAGTAGCGCTCCGAACGCCGAAGCCGCCATGCGCAGATCCGCCTCCTCGCCTCGTCTGCCCTCCGCCGTCACCTCGCCTTCATCTTCATCTCATCTTCATCGTCTTCTTCATCGATCAACAAGCTCAAGACCAAGTCCTGCTCCGTCGCCGTCTCGCCGGCCCGTCGGGCGCGCCGCAGCCACGGAACAGCCCCGGCGCCGAGGCCGAGGCCCAGCAGCAGCAGCGGCCCAAGGGTCGGGTGGTGGTGACCCGAGTGGTGGAGGCCGAGCAGGTGTTCCCGGAGCTGCCGGACGAGCTGAAGCTGCACGTCCTGTCGTTCCTGGCCGAACGCGACATGGCCGTGTTCGGCGCCGTGTGTCGCCAGGCCGCGGCCATGGCCAACGACAACCACGTGCGCGCACCCCGTCACACCACTTTTTATTATTTTTTTTCTGTGGAATGCTGACTATGCTCACCACCTGTGCGTGTCGTGCGGTATGTGTGTCGTGTCGTGTCGTGTCGTGTCGTGTCGTGTGCGACGAACAGTTGTGGAAGCGGTTGTACTCGCGGCGCTACGATTCGGTGCAGCCACCGGCGGCGCCCGTGCCGTTCCCGTCGTCCGCGCCGCCCTCGCCCTCCGTCCCGTCCCGCTCGGCCCCGCCCTCGCCCGCTCCCCGCTCCCTCTACGCCTCCGCCTCGCCCGCCCTCGCCGCCCGCTTCGCCCGCTCGGCCCCGGCCTCCCCCTACGCCGCCGCCGATGCTGACGTGGCAGTCGCCGTCGCCGCGCCTTCGCCCGGCCTCACCCGCCGCCCGCACCGTCTCCTGCCGGCGCTCGCCGGGTCTCCGCAGGTCAACGCCGCGCGGCCCGCCCGACAGGCCGAGGCGCCGCGCAACGACAACCGCGGGCGCAAGGACGACGACGCGCTCGAGGCCGCGCTCGGGAAGCTGAGCCTCGAGGCCGAGGCGGTGGTCGATGCCCAGGCGGCCGGCGCGGAGGCGGAGGCGCACGAGGAGCTGAACAGCTGCGAGTGGAAGGAGCACATGCAGTACCGCCACATGGTGCTCCACAAGCGGTGGCGCCAGGAGGCGCCCTACGCCGTCACCACCGCCCGCGGCCACACCGGCAACGTACGGCCGCATCGCCCCACATTCCTCACACATTCCTCACACCCATTTTGCTGACGTCATCATGTGTGGTGTGTGTCGTGTGTCGTGTGTCGGTGTGTCGTGTGTCGTGTGTCGTGTGTCGTGTCATGACAGGTGTACTGCATTCAGTTCGACAGCGAGAACGATCTGCTGATCTCGTCGAGCCAGGACGCGACGGTCAAGCTGTGGGACATGAGCGCCACCACGGCCACCCTCAACTGCACGCTCAAGGGCCACACGGGCCCCGTCGGCAGCGTCTCCTTCCTGCCGTCGGCCCACCTCGCCATTTCCGGGTCGGACGACAAGACCATTCGGGTGTGGGACACGGCCCGGGCCGCCGAGGCCGCCGCCGCCAGCAAGGACGGCGGCGGCAGCAGCAGCGCGAGCTGCGTGAAGGTGCTCCAGACGGGCGGCGAGGACGGCGTGTGGGCGCTCCAGTTCGACGCGCAGCGCCTGGTGGCGGACTCGGGCGACAAGACGATGGGCATGTGGGACACGGAGACGATGGAGCTCCTCACCAAATTCTCCGGCCACACGTATGCACCCTCCTTGTCTCTTTGTCTCGTCGTCTTCGTTCTTTGCTCTTCGTTCTTCGCACTCACTCGGGGGCGTGGGTGCACAGGAAATTTGTGGAATGTCTGCAGTACGACGGCAACCTGCTCTTCTCGGGAGCGCAGGACCACAACCTCATCAGTACGCTGCTCTCTATTATTATTATCATTATTATTATTGTTCATTCATTATCGAATTATTATATATTATTATATTATTATTTATTTTTGAAATGTAAGGTAGCTCATCAATGTTGGTGCCTGTTCCAGTGTGGGACATGTCGACGGCCCAGCCGCTTCACCACTTCAAGGCCTGCAAGGCGTCCGTCTATTGCCTGCAGGTATGTAGACCACCACAACACCACCACATCTTTACGGGCGCCGCGGCTCACGGTTGTTTTTCTTTCATCTCGCGATTCAGGCGGACGACACGAAGCTGATCTGCGGGAGCGCCGACAAGTCGATCTACTGCTGGGACCTCCGCACGCGCAAGCTGCTCTGGCAGTCGAGCGTCAACCGCGGATGGATCGGTGGCGTGATGTTCGATTGCAGCAAAGTCATCAGCTGCTCCTCTGGTTCGTTCCCTGTTCTCGGCACACGACACGCACGACACTCACCCCAGACGTTTGAATCCACAAACAGACAAGACCGTCAGGGTGCTGGATGTGGAGACGGGCAAGGCCACCAGCAAGTGGCAGCAGCACACCAACTCCGTTCGGTACGTTACTCGCCACACACTACCCACGCACGACACACTGTTGGCTGACTCGCACATCGCACATCGCACAACACACACACGACACACATCACACAACACACAGTGCTCTCAAGTACGATGAGAATCGATTGGTGACGGCCTCGTTCGATCAGACGATCAAGGTGTGGAGCTTCCCTTGAGGAAACGCCTCACACTCCCACACACAAGATGTTATTTTTGTCCATAGTAAAGCGCATTTTTTTCCTTTTTGATTGAAAAAAAATGCATTTGCGGTCGACAAGGGTGTCGGCAATAAACAAGTGTGTGGCAGGCAAAGCGCTAACACAACCATTTCGACATCTGGAACGAGAGGCTGTGGGCGTTGAAGAAAGATGGCGAGCATTGGAAGCGTGCTGACGTCGCTGTGCGAGGAATACAAGAAGCGTACACCGCAGAAGCTGAAGATCATCGACGTCTTCCTCGCGTACATCGTGCTGACCGGCGTCATCCAGTTCGTCTACGTGGCCCTCGTGGGCACCTTCCCCTTCAACTCCTTCCTCTCCGGCTTCATCTCCACCATTGGCAGCTTCGTCCTCACCGTCTCGCTGCGCATGCAAGTCAATCCCGCCAACAAATTCAGCGGCATTAGCGAGGAGAGGGCCTTCGCCGACTTCCTCCTCTGCAACTTCATCCTCCACCTCGTCGTCGCTAACTTCATGGGTTAAACACGCGTTCGAGACGGACGCCACAACGAAAATCGAGTGAATGCCCCCCCCCCCGGTCTCTCGCCGCGATGGAGGGCCTGCAAGGAAGGAGTGTAATATGGGTGGAGTGTGAGCGCTCTCTGTCTTCGCCCATTCAATCTTGTATCAATCAGCAATAGAATCTTCTTCGATCTCGATCTGCAACATCATTCATGCACGCCCGACCGAGATCAATGTAGTGGAAGGCGGATTCACTGTTTATTCTTCTGCTCTTCAGCTTCCAGCGTCTCAGCCGCAGCTTGCAGCGCAAACTGATCCATCGCCTTGGCCAGCACCACGTCGTACTCTGACACGCCCTTGCAGGTGTGCGTGGCCAGAGTCACCTCCACGCGGTTGTACACGTTGAACCACTCGGGATGGTGGTCCATCTACAGAGATTCGACCTCGATCAGCGCTCAGGTGAAGATCAATGGAATCAATGAATGGAGGCAGGTGCACCTCTTCAGCCTTTTCGGCAGTGAGATTCATGAATCGCCAGGCCTCCTTGAAATCCTTGAAGGTGAAGGTGCGCTGGATGGCATCACGGCACATGACCTGCTGCCAGAAGGGCACCTCCTCCCTCAGCCGGCGCTCGCGCTCCTCCCCCTCCAACTTCTCGCGCGAAAGGCCTGCAGTCGTGCTCATCTTCTTCGATCTTGGTCGTAGATGCAATGTGATTGTCTTTGTCGCTACAGCGCCGCTACTCGCACCGACCAACCCCAATTTTCTCTGGAATGCTCCTACGCCAGCTGAGCTTCTCATTGTGCTGTGTTGCTGTTGTGTAGAGTATGTATGGCGACAGTCTGGGGTTGGTTTGTTTGCTGGCCAACAAGATGTATGCATTCCAATAAAATGATGATGGTGGCAATGAAGGTCAAGGAGGAAGGGAGAGCAGTTGGTCATTCTCTTCACATGCGCACCCTCTCGTTCTTGGGATCGAAGGGCGGCTGGAGGGAGACGGAGGCGGGCACCCTCTTGGAGGCCACCTCGACCTCGTAGCGCCCGGCCTTGACCCAGTCGGGCGTCACCAGCCGGTCCTCTTTGGTCGCCGTGTTCGCCAGTTTGCGCACGTAGCCCAGGCCCACGCTTCGGCCCACCGTGTGACCGTAGGCCACCGACGTCAGGTAGCCACACACTTGCCCTGGGGTTGGCCGCACCACGATGAGAACAACGCACGCACCGCGCGCACCGCACGCACCGAACAAAACACGCGCGGCACACGCGTAAAGGAAGGGTGGTACCGTCTCTGAAGATGGGTTCGCCGCCGTGAGGATAGACCTCCTGGTCGTTGTCGATCACAAACACAGCGAGCCTCTTCTCGAGACCCTCCTTCTTCTGCCTCAGCAGCACGTCCTGTCGAGAATACCAGGGCGGTTGTGAGTGTGTGCGTGCGGTGGTGTGTGTGTGGTGTGTGTGTGTGTCGTGTTTACCTTGCCGAGGAAATTCTTCGTCTCGTTCTTGAGGTCCACGGCAAAGCCGAGTCCGGCCTCGAGTGGCGTATCATCGGGCGTGATGTCGCTGCCCCATGCGCGGTAGCCCTTCTCCAGGCGCAGCCCGTCGATCGCGTAGTAGCCCGCATCGCGCAGCCCGATGCGCGTGCCCTCGTTGGCCTTGGCGTGCAGCAAATCGTAGACCTTCGCCGAACGACACGCGTCAGCTCACACACCGCACACACACACAACAGAGAGGGCCACGCATTGCACACATACCAGGAGGGTGGACTCGATGGGCACGTAGAGCTCCCAGCCGAGCTCGCCCACATAGGTGATGCGACTGGCCCGCACCTGCGTGATGCCCAGGGGCACCTCCTGCGAAGTTCCGAAGGGGAAGGCCTATGGTCCGTGTGCGCGGCGTGTGCGGTGAGATCTCAATAGAAGCAAAAAGCGCCAAAAGGCGAAAGTGTAGTGTTGGGTTGGGTGGGAGGCGCGCACCTCGTTGGAGAGGTCGCGGTCTGCGATGACACGCGAGAGGAGCTCGCGCGACTTGGGTCCCATGAGCGATAGGGTGGAGTACTGGGGCGACACGTCGACGATGCTCACTTCCTCGTCCTCTTGAATGTTGCGGCTGATCCAATCGTAGTCCCGCGTAGCTGTGTGCGCGACCACCATTTAGAATAATGGCCAAACAAGGTGGAAGAAAATAAAAATGATGATTCCGGCGAGTGTTGATCTCGCGACCTCAAGCGTGTTAGGCTTGCGTGCTACCGTTGCACCACGGAATCTTGATTGTTTCGCAGAACCAGCTGTCTGGAATTCGTGGTATGAACAGTGGTGCCGGTACCTTGCGCTGTGGACGAAACGACGAAGTAGGAGTCCTCGCTGACGCGCGTCACCGTGCAGTCCGTCTCGTAGCCACCGCCTGCGTACCATCCACCATCGGTGACCGCACACGCACACACCGCAGGCACACGCACACAAGAGGGGTCAAGGCGTACGGGGGTTGAGCATGGGGGTGTAGACGACCCGGCCAACCGGTACGGCCACGTCGTTGGCGCACAGACGCTGCATGAACGACTCGACGTGCCGGCCCTTGACCACGAACTTGGCGAACGAGGTCTGATCGAACAGCGCCACCTCGTCGCGGGTCGCCTTGTGCTCCTCGCCTACGTACGGAAGCCACGCTGGGCGATCAAACGTGTACCTACGATGTTCGATGCGTTAGTTGCGCCTGTGCGAATGCGCATTGCCTGCCGTGTGTGTCGTGTGTGCGTGTGCGTGTGTCGTGTGTGCGTGTGTGCGTGTGCGTGTGTGTGTGTGTGTGTGGTGCACACTTGATGGAAGAGGGCGACACGGAGGAGGGCAGGAAGTAGTTGGGCCGTTCCCATCCCATCTTGCTGCCGAACTGGGCTCCCCTCGCCGCCAGCCGTTCGTAGAGGGGCGACACCCTGAGCGGCCGGCCGGACTGCAGCTCGTACTTGGGCCACGGGATCTGCGCAACAACAATGTTATTACAATAATAATAACATTAACAACAACAACAACAACAACAAATAAATAATTAACAACGCAGGAATTGCGGTAGTGGTGGTGTAGCATGTGCCTGGTAGTGCAGCCCGAGGGTTTCCATGGAGCGCTGCTTTTGGAAATTATCGTTGGCGTGGTACTTGCCGAAGCGGCGGATGTCGACCGACCACAGGTCCATCGTCGGATAGCCCTGCAAGGGACAGCCATTCAAGCAATCACCCACGTCCACGTCATCATTGCCATGCTCGCTCACGACGTGTACTCAGCAGCAGCAGCGGGAGTCATCGTACCTGGATGAGCCACTCGGAGAGGGCCTTGCCAGCGCCGGCAGCCGAGGCAATGCCTGACGAGTTGAACCCGGCCGCCACGAAGAAGTTCCTCACCTCCGGCGCTTCGCCCAATATGTACTGCACGACATAGCGCGGGCGACGATTGCGGATTAAGCCCATGTGCCCATCACACAGCGCAGGGACATGCATCGCGTCGATTACATCGCATATATCTCAACAGTATGTGAGGAAAGTACCTGATTGTCGGGCGTGAAAGACTCGGGGCCGTTGAGCAGTTGGCGCACTTCGGCCGTCTCCAGCGCGGGGCACCGCTCCAGCGCCGAGCTGTCGACAAACGAAACGTCAATTGGGAAGGCAACGTGGGCGAGGAATTCGGTGGAGAAAAGGAGGGGAGGCGAGTACTTCATGAGAATGGAGAAATGGTCCCAGTCCTCGTCGAACAGCTGGAACTGGAAGTCATTCGGCACACCATCGGCAAAGCACTGAGCGCCACGGCAGAAAAATCCAAGGAATGCCAAGAATTGTCAATCAGTCATTACTGAGGAGTAAGAGAAAGAAATCTACCGGTGATCTCTATGCATAGGAGAGGGCGTACGGGTTTGGCGACGGGTTCGAAGCCGCCCATGATGATGCCGCCGCTCCACTCGCGGAAGTAGATGTAGCCATCGGGATCCCTCAACACGGGCAGGTCTGATCCCGCCAAAGGTCAGCACCAACACGAGGGGGGGGGAAGAGCGAAAAAGACGGAGCGCGGAGCAAAGAACGAATGCGGAAAGAGGGGAGGGAGAGGGGGCATCCTGTACAGGAATCAACGCCGTCGATGGGCTTGGTGGAGATGTAGAAGTGCTCGCAGGTGTGAAGCGGCACGTTGACTCCCGCCAGGCGGCCGACCTGCTTGGCCCACATGCCTCCGCAGTTGACGACATACTCGCACTTGATGTCGCCCTCGCTCGTGCTCACGCCGGTCACCGCGTGTTTGTCGGACTTGTGGATCCCCGTCACGCGCACGTTCTCGATGATCTTGACACCCTTCGACTTGGCCCCGGCAGCGAACGCGCTCGTGATGTCGGACGATGTCGCCTGGGAGCCCAAGTCGATCAGACACTTCGTTTACGCGCAACACGCGACGCGACGGACGGCACACACGACGGGTTCGTACCACGCCATCGTGAGGAATCCAGAGCGCGCCGGTGATGCCCTCGGTGGAGAGGAGGGGCCAGTGCTTCTTGGCCTCCTCGGGAGAGACGAGGTGACCCTCGATGCCGAACGCCCTAGTGGGTAAAACACCAAAACGCGCTTAGCCGTGTGAGGATTGTGTGTTGTGTGTGTGTTGTGTGTGTGTGGTTAAGCCTGGTCGTGGCTCCTCGTACCGCATGCGAGACAAGGTCCGCTTGATGTGCGTCATCCTCTCTTGCGTGCGCGCGACAGTCACGCCGCCGCACTGCTTCCAGCCCGTGCCCTAGCGGACGAGGAATCGAAGAGTGTTAAAGGTATGAGCGTACGGATGATGTGTGCGTGCGTGGAGCAGTCAGTGCTGTACCTGGCCGGTCTCCTTTTCCAGGTCGGCATAGAGTTGTATGCCGTAGCGACTGAGCTTGGTCTCGGTCTCGTTGGCTCGAAGCTGCCCGATCAGACCTGCCGCGTGCCACGTCGTGCCACAGCCCAGGGTGCCTTCATGGTACACAGTTATGTGAGCCGGCTTGGTTTCGCTGTGTGTGTGGTGTGTGTGTGTGTGTCGTGCGCGCCAACGATGGTACAATGGTACCCTGCTCCAACAGGACCACGTCGGTCCACCCGAGCTTGGCCAGATGGAAGGCCACACTGGTACCGATCACGCCGCCGCCGATAATCACTGGCACAGCATGAACGCGGTGCGTCAATTCACCACGGGAGGTAGAGGCCACGGTGAGACAAGGAGGACGAGCGAGAGAAGAAGACTTACCAACACGAGACTTGTCGGGCACCCTTTTGTCTGTCGCGGTGGCTGCGCTCTGCGGCCCAGGCGATTATTTATTTATAAATAAGTAATAATTAGCTAATAAAGAATTAGTGGTTTGAGGGCGTACGGTGCTGAAGAGGGGGCTGCTGGCCCAGGGCGAAGCGAACGCATGTCCTCCACTGGTTGTCTTAAGCACGTGGGAGGTGGCTCTAGCAGGCCCACTGCGACTTGCCAACTGTCTCAAGCGTAGCCTGTTTGTTCCTCAAGTAGATGAAGAAGTGAATTAAAGAGAGAGATGTAAGATGATTGATGCCCTGCTACTTGCCATCGAGTGTTATTAAACAACAACAAACCAACAACAACAACATATTCAAAGCTTTCACGCAGCACCAACGCGAGAGGGCGCTACGTGCATCTCTTTACCACGCGCGGCTGGTGCTTGCAAACTACGTTTTTTGGTGCTACGTTTCTGTTTTTGAGTTTCGTTTTGTTCCCGATGCGGCCTGGGCGCGTGGCGCGTCTCGCCTACATGAGGAGACAGTGGTGGTGACCGCCGTCCGCCAGGACCGGTGGGCCGTTCCCCTCCTCTGCTGGGGCGGCAGCGGCGCTCGTGGCAGCGCTGAGCGCGGAAGAGGCCGCCTGGTCTTGGCTGGCGTAGCTCCTGCGCAGCTCCTCCTCCGCCTTCACTCGGCTCGTCAGATCTGTACGCACAGGCAGGTCAGCTTCAACCGCCAATTGCTGACACACCGCACACGACACGACACGACACGACACGACACGACACTCGCGCACGAGTTTACCTTGTCGCGAGTAGAGTGAGTTATAGTGGAGTTCGGCGAGGAAGGAGAGCCAGAGGCTCTTCTGTGTCTTGGCCCCGTCCTGCGGCTTGATCTCCATCCACACCGTGTCCTTGTACGACGTCAGCAAATGAATCTCCACCCCGTACACGTTCGCCGCCGCCTGCGTCCATGAACCACATTGCAATGAGTTTACTCCTACGTCGTGTATCGTGGATCGTGTGCGGTGGTGCGTGTGCGGTGGTACGGTGTACCTGGAGCGTGATGTGATCGCCCCATGTGCCGCGCTTGTCCATCGTGTTGCAGTATTCCGTGTAGTCGCCGGGCACGTACTGTCTGAATCGCTCCGCATTGGCCTGCGCGCGCATGCACACGTCGCCAGGCCCGCCAATGAGCGACTTCTCGCAAACGAGAGAAAGAGAAGAGTTTGGATCGCCGAGGCCGGGCGCGCGCGGTGCGTACTCTGAGGTAATTGACGATGGTGTGCCTCACCACGGCCGCCATTCCCGTGGTACGGTACAACTGGTCCGCCAACGACGCAAACTGGCAATCGCCGTTGCCCTATTGGCGGGGGGGGGAAGCGCTGATGAGCTATTGTCCCGCACACACGACACACGACACATCCACACATCCACACGGGACGCTGGCCTACCGAGACGCTGTACTCGGCCAGCGTGTACAGGTCGAGCCTCTTCTTGAGCAGCTGCTTCCCGTTGAGGTATTCATCGTTCTCCTCAAACTGCAGCAGCAGCAGCAGCAGCACGAGGTGAGCTGACGGGTGTTGGACATCTCACGCGCGCTAAAAGCTTTAGTGGCGTACACTGTTGAAGGTGTTGACGCGTGGTCGGAAGGCGTCCTTGATCGCCGAGACCTCGTCGGCCATTCCCTCCTTGACCTTCAATCATTGTTGAGGAAAAGTGGTCAGACCAACCGCTGATCTCTGCGCCAACCGCCGGGAGGGCGGGCGTACTCGGTGCAGCACTCTTCGTATCTTGCGATCGAAGCGTCGACCGATGGAGATCGCGTCCGCTGCATTCATCAAGTGAGTGAGTGAGTGACACGCCAGGTCAGCTACTGTGGTGTGGTGTCGTTGCTCGACAGGTGGGCTCGCCAATGTCAATGCGTACCGGAGGCCACTTGCTCGCTCTGTGCCACGGCGCGTGCGATCGCCTCGTCGTTGGCCGTATTGACCGCCATGCCCTACACCGCGATCATGAGCCCACGTAGTGTGGGACGAGCTCATGGTTAGCCGCCATCGCCATCGCCATCGCCTCGGCAACACCGGTTGTGCTGTGCTGTGTTGTGGTGCTGGCCTCAGGGTCGGTAGAGGCAGGGGAAGGGTTGCACCTTCTCCAGGGACGGCATACGTCGCAGGCTGTCCCTCACTCCCGGCGGCAATCGGCCCAACGCCCTGGCTTGTGTTTGGGCCAACACACAAAAGAAGAAAATACAATACAATACAATGAATAAATTAAATATTAGTTTTTAAAGATAAATAGAAAAGTAGAAATAAAAAGTGTAAAAGAAGAAGACTTGGGTGAGTAACCTGCTTCTTGGGAGAGTGACTCTACAGACTCGTCGTCTTCATCTTCATCTTCTGGACTCTGGCCGCCCCCATGTAGCCCCACCTGGTGGTGATGTGGGTGGGCAGCCAGCGCAGGGGGCGCAGATGAAGCCAGCCCTTGATGGTGGTGGGTCTGCAGACCAGCACTCGGCACAGAGGCGGCCGAGTGGGGCGCACTCGGGTGGTAGTGCGTGCGCCCCCACAGGCGACTGCGCTGCTGCTGCGCCTCAGCTTCAGCCATGGCCCTGGCAATGGCCTCATCGTTCTCGGTGGGTGCACCAGGCTGGTGCTCTGCAGAGGTTTGCATCTTGCTCTTGTCTGCAGAATAAAATAATAAAATGAAAACTAATTTATGAATTTTTTAATATAATATTCATTTATTATTATTTGGTTGAAGATGACGACGCGTCCGCTGTCGGCTGACCTGCTGGCGATGCAGCTGGCGACGGTGGACGTGCTCGGGTCCATGTTCTGCCTCCCGGGCGAGCTGACCATGTCGCCCGCGGACACGGCCGCCGTCGAACGCGTCCGATCCTTCGTCGAATCTTCATCCTCCGACGTGCCCTCGAATCTGCCTCCCTCCTTCACCCTCTCCATCCATCTCACCTTCGAATGCGAGCTCGACATCGCCAAGCCATCCCCTTCAGTTCAAAATCGCTCCAAATCGCCAGCTCAAAATCGCGATCTGGCCCTCGAGCTCGTCGTGGTGCTGCCATTGACCACCACCGCCGACGCCGCGGCTGACAACGACGGCTACGCCGATGCGCCGCCGCCCATCATCTCGATGCAATGCCCGTCGTGGATGGACCGCGCCGCACACGCCACCATCGTCGCGTCGCTGCCCTCGGGCGAGCCCGACTGCGTGCTGCCCGCCATCGACTACCTGCGCGACGTGGTCCCGGCCTACATCGAGGACACCGTCAAGCCGGCGGCGGCCGCAGCGGCCGCAGCAGCCGCGGCCACGGCCACGAGCCGGCGGCGGCGGGTCATCGATGACGACGAGTGCGAGGAGGGCCTGATTCGCGTGTGGTTCTACTTTCCCTCGCTCTCCACGCGTGAGAAGCGGGCCGACATGGTCAACTGGGCGCCCGGCTACAAGCTCACCGGCTTTGTCCTCGCTGGTGCCACTACCACTCTTTCCCTGCGTGTGCGTGCGTGTGCGGTGGTGTGTGTGCGGTGGTGCGTGTGCGTGTGCGTGTCATACCGTGTTTGACACGCCTGCGTGTAGGCAAGCCGGGCGTGTTGTGTCTCGAGGGGACGTCGTCCAACATCGACTCGTACATGACCGCCATCAAGACGCAGAGCTGGGCTGACATCCCGTCGTTCCAGAAGAAGGTGTCCGAGAAGTGGCGGGAGACGAGCGAGGTCAGGCGTGCGTTCGACGACATGACCGAAATAACGGGGGCCGTGGCCATGCACGGCGCCCGCGGCAATCGCGGGGAGATGGGCGAAGTGGAGCGCATGCTCGAGGAGAAGGGACTCGGCCACGCCTTTGCCAGGGTCCTGCTGTAACAAGCTCCACAAACTTACAACTCATTATCAAAGATGATGTAACCAAGGCAGTCATCCTGTGTTGAAGCCAAGGACACAGAATCTTGAAGTGTATGATCAAACTTGAGGAGGATTCCAACAGCATCATGGGAACATGTGAAGGAGGACTGTGCCACCATCACTCATTCTTCAACCCTATGCACAGTCCTCTTCCCTCAGACAGCCATCTTTGCATTCTTGTCACCCAAGGGAAGGGGGGTCCAGCAGGAACTGTCATAGGTTGGAGGTGTTCCACCTCTTGGGTGTTCTCAATCTGACCACCAGCTCCACTTCTAATTGTGTAATTAACAGGGCTGGCGACCAACAAAGAGTATTCCACATGGTGCAAGTTTAGACTAAGTACTATGTTCACCACAACTATAATTCAAAACAATTTATCCTCCCGCCCTGGTCATCCTCTCCGCCGTTTAGTTCCCGATTTCGATGGGCAGCCAGGCGTCGATGTTCTTCCAGCTGTTGATGGGACGCGACCGGATGGGGAACGACAGATGCTGCACGAGAGAGAGGCAAAACCACAGTTTTAGTAACGCCAACCAACGGAAAAGAACCAGACCTCGAAGACCATGAAGTCAATCAAATAATCCAAATTAAAAATAAAATAAAAAACTGGGACCAGCGGCGTACCAGCTCGTGCTTGACAGTGCCGCTGGACTTGTCGATCTTCTTGGGGAGCCTGTAGCTGTCGGTGCCCTTGAAGTCGGTGTACTTGTCGAGAGGGAACCGGGCACCGCAGTAGAACTCATCCTCGGTACCGGTGGGGACGCCCTATGATTTAAAAAAGAAATGTGAGATGGGGCTTGATCTGCAACGGACGAGTCGTGATGAGAGGGAGAAGGACATACCCGCTCGGCCTCGCCCTTCTTGGGCTTCTTTTGCTTCTTCTTCTTGTCCTTGCTGTCTCCCTCGGGCTTGGCGCCCTTGGTCTCGACGACGCACTTGATTGACTTCATGGTCTTCGAGGTCTGGTTCTTGATCTCGACTGCATGGTGATAAAGATCAATTAGCATTTTGTGCAGCGACACATCTCGCAAATGAAAAATCGCGCCTGAAAGAGGATGAGCAGGCGTACACTTGAGCTCGACCTTCTCCTCGGGCTTGTAGTTCCGGTTCTCGATGGAGACGGTGAATTCGATGACCTTGTCCTTGGCCAGCTCGTAGGTCTTCTTGAGGACCGTTCGGCCGTCGATCACCACAACCGACTGCTCATCGTTCTTCTTGCTCTTCTTGCTCTTCTTCTTCTTGTCGGCCTTACCGTTCTTCTTGTCGCCGTTGTCCTCCTTGGCCTTGGTCTTGGGCGGGTTGTAGATCTCGGGCTCCTTCTTGGCCTCGGCTCGCGGCGTTGTGGTGGCCGATCGCGGGGTGGCCTTGGCAGAAGCAGAAGACGAGGTCTTGTCGCTCGACGTGGACTCCTCCTCGCTGGTCTCCTCCTCCGACTCCTCCTCGCTCGTCTCCTCCTCTTCGGATTCCACCTCCTCGCTCTCCTCCTCCGACTCGGAGTCAGACCTCTTCTTCCTCTCATCTTCGGACGACGACATCTTTGGTTGTGTAGCGGCTCAAATCTGCATTTATCGAAAAACAAAAACAATCATCAGATTGATTAACGACACCCACGCCCTCACACAAGAAACAACCAACGAAGAAGAGATGGAAGAAGAGCCTTCAAGGAGAGCGAGAAGATGGATGGGCGAGAGGGTACCTGCTTGTGCTTGCTTTTTGTTTTTGTGTAGTACGCGAAAGGAACGTTTGTCTTTTGCGCGCCGGCTGGGAGTTGGTTGCGTCAACAGCGAGAGTAGGACGACGCCAGAATGAGGGCCACCACAACTGGTCGCCTTTAGCTCCGCGAACGAGACAACCTGCCGGCATTCTTCATTTCCCGCTCGCGGACATTGTTTTCTAATTAATTGTAGAGGTATGATGAGTATGTCGAGTTATTTCGAGAATTTTCAGAGTTTCTTTTTTCTTTTCTCGCGAAATTGACATCTTTTGGAGGACTAATCAAATCGCTCGGGCAGAATGGAGCTCCCCGAGACCTTGAGAAACACAGGTATTCGATCTCTGCCGGTCTTCCTCTCTTCGATTGGCACTTCGTCTCGATCCTATTTTTTTTTAGATATATGATCCTAAGATTGAGGCCCTCTTTGTTCGGCTGCAGCGCCGACCACGGTCTCTCCCAGCGAAGCGGAGCTGCGGGCCTTCACCCACGAGCAGCTCGTGCAGTACATCTTGCAGAGCCGCTCAGCTCCCTCCTCTGCGCCGGAGCAGTACGGGAGGAAGAGGGAAAGAGAAGGAGCAGCGGAAGAGGGTGCCGCGGGCGAAGGCGACGATGCCACCGCAGAAGCCAAAGCCGACGGCGGGGAGGAAGAAGAGCCCGCGAAGAAGAAGGCCAAGGCCAAGAAGGTCCGTCGTGCTGCTGCCCCCACGTTCTGAGTGGCGTGGTACGCGGTTGGTGCAGTGATTGAAATACGTACGTCGTGTGTCGTTGGTGGTGTTTGTTGGCCTGCAGGAATTTGACATGTCGCGATACCATCAGCGCTACATCGCCCTCAAGCTCGCCTATCTGGGCTGGCAGTACGATGGCCTGGCCGTGCAAAACGACACCGACAACACCATCGAGGTACCGCTCCAGCAGTTTGTGCGTGTGTGCGTGTGCGGTGGTGCGTGTGTGCGTGGTGTATCCGTGAAGTTCATGCGAGGCCTGATCTGTCGCGGTGATACAGACACACCTGATCGCAGCGCTCAAGCGTGTGAAGCTCATCACGGACCGGCCGTCATCCAACTACAACCGATCGGGTCGCACCGACAAGGGCGTGTCTGCCCTGGGCAACGTACGTTGGTCAACTGATCGGTTGCGCTCCACTCAGTCGTTGGTGCGCGCGGGCTGACGCTGGCCCGTGCGCGCAACAGGTCATTTCAGTGCAGGTGCGATCGAACCTGAAGCCGGCCAACCCCATCGACGAGAATGGGGCGAAGGCTGTCATCTACGCCGACACACCACTCGACACCAGCGACCCCAGGAAAGGTGCCCGCGCCCTGCATTGTCGTGTGTGTGTGTGTGTGTGTGTGTGTGTGTGTGTGTGTGTGTGTGTGTGTGTGTGTGTGTGTTAGCGCAAAGCTGAAGCCAATTGTTACCGGCCGCCTTACAGAGGAGATGCCGTACCTCAAGATGATCAACTCGGCGCTTCCGCCGGACATCCAGGTCCTCGCCTGGACCACCGTTCCCAAGGACTTCTCCGCCCGGTAGGCATCGACAGAGTTGTCTTCATTCCTCGCATTCCCGCAGCCTCGCGCGCTAACGATCCCCCATCCACAACCATGCAGGTTCAGCACCAAGCACCGAACCTACAAGTACTTCTTCCTCGCCGAAAACCTTCAGCTTGAGGTATACACGTCGCTGGGCACTCACAGATGCGGGCCACCCACCATGGTGACTCTGATGTGACACTGACCTTGGTGCATTTTGTGGGCCATATATGTTACCCCCCCCCCCAATCATACAATCAGCGAATGCGCGAGGCGGCCAAGAAAATCGAGGGCGAGCACGACTTCAGGCACTTCTGCAAGATGGACGTGGTGAACGTGCACAATTTCGTGCGCACCATCTACTCCTTCGACATCGCTCCCGCCGAGAGCGGGTACCACCACACGTCACCCCCCCCCCTCCTCCCAATTCACCCCCCTTACCACAAGTTGATACCCCCCCCCCTCTCCTCCCCGACGTGACAGTGTCGTGCCCGGGGTGGCCGAGGGTTCGATGTACACGATGACCATTTGCGGCCAGGCCTTTTTGTGGCATCAAGTGCGAATTCCCTCCAGCCGACCACCATCTCGCAACGCCGCCCGTACTCACGCGGGCCGCCTTTTTTCCTGTTCGTGGCTTTGGCTGTGACTCTGCAGGTGCGCATGATGGCCGCCATTCTCTTCCTCGTCGGCTCGGGCCAGGAGGAGCCGACGGTGCGTCACGACACTGATCGAGCCACCAGCAATGTTGTGGGTCTTGCGAGTTGTACTCACGCGGCCATGGTTGGCGTTGCGGCGGGGCAGGTGGTGGACGAGCTGCTGGACGTCGCCAAATTCGAAGGTCGGCCGCACTACCAAATGGCGTCGGAGATCCCGCTGGTCTTCTGGGAGGCCGCCTACGATGAGATCGAATGGACCTACGACCCAGGTACATTGCCACCCACTGCCGCTCCGGCCTGTGTGCTGTGTGCCGTGTGCGGCCTGGCTGCGAAGTGCTAACGTGTTTTCTCCCTCCTCTCCACGGCCGCAGTCGCGGTGAGCCAGGTGCACAAGGTGTTCAGCGAGCGCTGGAAGTGGCTCTCCATCCAGACCGCCGTGGCGCACGCCTACCGCACCTTCCTGGAGGACCGGTACTCCCGACCACATACCAGCACCAACGAGGAATGCGTGAAATGTGGGAAATGTGGGAATGTTGGAATGTTGGTCAAAGCGGTGGCGTGTCACTGGTGCGTGTCTCGCGTCATAGGGTGGTGACTGTAGGACGGAACGAGATCAAGTGGCGCGAGCACGCTGCCAGCCAACCGGGCAAGCCGACCCGGCACGTAAAGCTGCTCGCGCGGGGCAAGGGCGGTACGTCGCACTTTACCTCCCCTTTCCACCGTCGGCGCGCGGACTGCACTTGCCTCGGCGCGATGATCTCTCGCGCGACGTTGTGTTGCGTGTCGTATCGTGTCGTATCATGTGGTGGCTAGTGTCGTGTTGTGCCATGCGTGTTCTTGGAACGATGTTACGCGTGTTACAATCTCGAGATTGTCGTGAGTGTTTGTCGTCCGCTGTTGTTCGTGTGTGAGGCCTTTGTGCCGCCTCTTTTTCTGTGGGCTACCCACGGCGGTGCCTCGGCCTTTCACACTTGCGCTGGGGACAGGCCTGTCACTGAACCTGCGCTCTTTCCCGCACACACGCACACACAACGCACCCACACGCACACAGACACCTATGCGGCGAGGGTGGCCCGCCTGGCCGGGCGAAAGAGAGAGCGCTATATTAAAACTTCCGCCGGCAGGAAGCCCACGGGTGATGATGATGACGGCGATGACGCGACCAAGAGTAGCACGTAGCCTGGCGAATGTCATGACTACATCAAACAAAGAAGGCGGTGATTTGGCGGTTGTGGCGCTGATCAGCACCCAGAGGGGCAACCACCCGGTAATCGCATAAACAACAAACCAGACGCTAATGGCCCGTGATTGGTTCGAAGTCTCCAAAAAAAAGTTGCTCGGCCGTGGCTACGCAGCCGGTTGGCCACAATCTCCCGCGCAAGTGAGCACCCGGAGTGGGAGGAGACGTTAGCCACTTCGCCATTCAGCACAAAGCCCAAACACCTGAGCAAGGCGGACATCTAAGCTAAAGTCACGATGACCGAGCACAGGCAATGGCAGGTCAAGCGTCGACTAAGTGCTTACACGGAGAGCCCAATGGCCGACGACCGCGACCACTACCACCCCAGCGCACACAACTCGCTGTACTACGGCGCCGTGCCACCGGTCAGCAGGATGTCGAGAGCCGCAACGCGGCGGATTAGCATGGCAGCTGCGCCCATCCCCTTCACCGAGACGTTGGCGGCTCGGTCGAGCGACTGCGGCTGCTGCAGCTGCCTAGCTGCGGCGGCCCGCGCCTACAACGCCTCGCAGCAGGCCCACACTGCTGCGCACCCTAGACCAGTCTCCCAGGCGGAGCGCCACATGTGGGTCCATTCGCGGCCACGAGGCGGACCTCGGACAGCAGCCACAACCACTATGCAGAGCCCCACTATCTCGAGGCCCGGCCCACGCCTGGATGATGCGTCGAGGCCTGACCTCCGATCTACACTCGGCGAACCCACCGAGCTCGGATGACGGCAAGCGACCTACCAAGCGCAGGCGCACACAGCAGCTGGGCCACATCCTGGACGCGACCCTCGACGCCTCGACGGCCTGGGAGAGCCAAGAGCGACCTTGCCCATCCGCCCGCGAGTGTCGCGGGCCTGTCGCACAGCTGGGCCACCGGGGTCATACAACCCGCCGCCACGGCCTCGTCCCCGTCCTCCTCGGCACCTTCGCCTTCTTCTTCTTCTCCTTCTTCGGCCTCATCCCCGGTGGCTCCAGCTGCGACGGCAGATCGCAGCTCTTTCTCGTGGCAAGTGGTTGCCACCCCACTGCCAACGCTCGTGTCAACTTCCTTCTCCCCAACCGTGTTCTACCTCCCCACTACGGCGACCGCGGCTGACGCCACCTCCGCAACGCCGGGAATGGCGTCCCCTAGCGCCGCCGCTGAGCCCGACGAGCTGCAGACTGGCCTCGAGCAAGCGGACGACAACGAAGGTGACGATCAGTGGTTCGGCTTCCTCCTTCGGCGAGCGGGCTCTGAGACGGCGACAACCACACCCTCTCCGTCCTCCTCCTGGTGATCCCATCCGGTCGCGAGAGCAGCGTGAGCTTCCCTTGCGGAAAAGAGTTTTCCGTTCGGTTGCTCTCCTTTCTTTCCTTTCTTTCCTTTCTTTCCTTTCATTCCTTTCTTTGTGCTCTCTTATTGATTTTCAACACTAATTTTCCTTTTCCTTCCGGCAAATAAAAAACGGATAAATAAAATACCCGACCAAAAATTTGCGATCCAAAGAACGAAGCGCGTCGCTCACGGTAACGAGCGAAAGCACACGAGCACCCGCACAAGCACAGCCGCAAAAGAAGGGAACATAAAAGAACACGAGATAAGAAAGAACAAAAGGGCAAAGGATGGATCCTTGGCTGGGCGTGTGGCCCCACCAGCACCAGCACAGCACTGGCGCATCGTATGCCCAGCAACTGCACAACGGCCGCTACGCCGCCCCGCAGCACAACGAGCAGCTACGATTCATCCCCGCACCGAGCACATCTTCCTCCTCTTCGTTGACCACCACCACGTCTGCCTCGGCGTGGCCAGGATGGGACGCCCTCGTTGTGTCGCACGCCGAGCACCGAGCTCCAACGATGATTGGAGACTATGGCGGGCTGCTGGGGTCTGGGAGCCGTAAGCGAACGCGAGATGCTGCACCACCGCAACCATCCACCTTCACCTCTTCTACATCTTCTGAATGGGGAGGTTGTGAGAGATGGGGCGAACTCTACACAACGTGCCCGCCCCCTTCCACATCAACATCAACATCATCTTCAGCCTCGATTCATCCTCATCAGGCGAGGACAGTAGGAGAGATTGTGACGCCGGGCGCGGTTCGATGGGGCGCAATGGTGATGGGCAATTTGCCACACGACGCTTCACCCACCACTGCCGAAGAGATGGACGAGCTCTTGGAGGAGATCATAAACAGCCTCGACTCCGAAGAGCACCGTAGCAACCAGCAGCACGCTTCCACATCTTTCTCATCATCTCCCACTACTCAATCTTCATCCTTGGCACCGCCTCATTCTCATCACCGGCATCATCAACCTCTACATCGACATCACTATCAACATCACCGACAGCTGCCGCTGGCTAACTGGGCCGAGAGCGGGCTCTACGTGTGGACCAACGCAGCGCGGTGGCTGGGCGCCTTCGAGCGGTACGGATGGACGTTCACGCCACTCCACCCGTCCGTGCTGAGCGAGGACGGCCTGCGCTCGGTGCTCGGCGGCGGCAGCGGCTCTCGATACCACTCGCCGCCATCATCGTCATCGCCGTTGTCTTCTTCTTCTTCTTCCTCTTCGTCGTCGCCGTCATCGTCCTCCTTCTCCCTCGGTTCCGCTTGCTTGACCGGGCCGGCCGTGTTCGAGCTCAACATCAACACCGCACTCGCCTACGGTACGTGTGCGCACACGCACGAAGATCACCGCACACGCGTGCGAGATGACTGACTGACGCCTCGGTGATCGTGTGCGCGCGGATTCAGGGGCGTTGATCATGGGCAACGATGTGCGCGCCGAGGAGTTCTTCGAACGAGCGCGGAAGGCGCTCGAGGACCTGCTGGAGGTCAACGACTACGCCGTGGCCGAGGCCCTCTTCGCCCTCGGCTACTACCTCTACGGCCGGGTATCACACCCGCCTTTGTGCTCTCAACGCTCGCTCGCGCATTTTCCACATCGCCGACTCACTCGTCTTCTTTGCTGTGTGCCACGCCATCGATCGTGTCGTGTGTCATGTCGTGTGAAGGGCGATCTCGTTCGATTCTCCTACTACATCACCCTGGCCAAGCAGATCTGTCAGCGGATCGGGTACCGGCATCCAGTGCTGCCCATCCACATCTTGTGCGTGCTTGCTGACACGACACAACCACCGACACGACACGACCAACGACACGACAGGGCATGCAACAGTGGTGTGTTTCTGAAGTGCATGATGGCCACGGTGTTGGACCCGTCGTACACGCCGGCAGAGAAGGAGCGCACCCTGCGGCGCTACAATCGCGCGGTCAAGGACACGCCCCGATGGGATGACCACCACGACCGCTTCCTGCTCGACCACAACCGCCCCAGCCACCAGGGGGACAACCAGTACGTCGCAGAGGAGGTGACCGTCGCCGGCGCCATCACGCTGGGAACCATAGGCGGCAGCAGCGGCGAGGTGACGCCGCACGACGTGCTGGACACGGTGGAACGGGCGCGCAACATCGACAAATGCGTCACCAACGTGCTCATGCTGGTCGGGCTCCACCGGTGGCTTCGGCAGGAGGCCGAGGCCGGCCGCGGCCTGGGCGACGAGGCCACGGACACAGTCCTCCAGCAGTGGCGCCGGCTGATCGTCGCCATGGAGGAAGAGATCGGCTCTGGTGGTACGTTCTTCTTTTCCTTTTTTTTCTTCTCTTCTATTTATTTTTTAAAAGCAATCAAAAATCTATTCATAATTTAAGTGCTTTTCGCATGTTGTCGTACATTTGTATATATATATATATATTCGATAGCTTTATGTAATTACTAATCTATTTTACCACAGAGGCGCTGCCGCCCACGTTCAAGCTGACGGTGACGCTCACCTGGCTCTGTTTCTCCGCCGAATACTACCAGCGGGCTGGCAACACAGAGGTGCGGACAGTGCGTGTCACAGGTGTGGGGGTCGTACCGGGGTCGCCAAACGAACTGATCCACCGGTGATCGTGATCGATTTGGTCGGTTCTCTTTTGTAGGAGGCGCAACGCTTTGCCTTGGCGTATCTGGAGCAGATTCAGGGCGGTGGCATTGAGCTCTGCACATCCGGGTGTATCGCCCTGTGCGAGATCATGATGGACCTCTGCTTTGAGCTTGGCAGGTATGCGCACCACTCGTAAACACCGCCGCACGCACGCGCCACCCACTGACCTTTGCTTTCTAGGGACGACATCGTGGAAGCGCTTCTTCTTCAGGCCAGGCCGCTGATCGAGCGCCACCCGCTGTGCCGCGACCGGGCCGCAGCGTACCGGGAACTGCTCAAGGCCCGGGCCTCGTCGGCCGTGAACTCCGCTACCAGCCAAGCAGTGTACATTTAAAAAACATGCAAAAATTAAAAGATTGCTTTTGGACCCATGAATGCCAGGAATGTGCGACTCTTGGCGAAGAACGGTGGACGGCAAGCGAAGAATCTTGAGACATTAGAAAAGGCAACATGAAGAAGCAGCTCCCCTCCCCCCACTCATTCTGCCGTTTGAGGGTGGCGACCAATCAAAACCTTCCGACAATAGAGACTCCGACCCGATGGTCTGCGAGGTAACTTCCGCGGAAGGAGCTTTGGGGTGTATTACCTACCCGACGAGGGAATTGCGGCAGGCCGTAGGAGAACACCGAGCGGCTCTCGCATAGTGACCACACATACACGTGCGTCGCTTCCCTCGCACTGTGCGAAGGCAGTTCCTCCCCGTAAGCTCCGACCACGCATTCAAAAAGGCCAGCAGTTCGTCGTTTGTTGTTCAGAGCTCTAACAACCACCCCACCCCACCCAAGCTGTCCCTCAGCCCATCACAACACATCTCCACCGCAACTATGGACAATTCATCGTCTTCTCTGTTCACTGCCCTCGTCTCCCTCTTCGTCGCGCTGCTCTTCTTCTCGGCCTACCACCTCCCCGCGGCCCACGCCCAGACCACAGCGGCCAGCGGCCAGTGCGAGTGCCCGTGCGCCTGCGACAGCGACTCAGGGTCCCAGCCGGAGCCGTCCGCGGGCCTGTCGGTGACCTGGTACAGCGGCACGAGCGCCTGGTGGATGGCGGTGGTCATCCCGGGCTCCACGTCGGTGTCAGTCGACTGCGGCAACGGCCAGGGCTTCGTGCGGATGAACGCTGGGTGGACGCCCAACATGTGGACCTTCTCGTCGACCAACGGCCGCGCGTGCAAGTCCACCGTCCAGTTCATCGTCAACGGCGGCTCGGCCCAGGCCGTCACCGCTCCCTTCTGAGCCGAGCCATCAACTTTTTATCGCCAGACCACGAGAAGAAGTGCTCTTCACCATCTGTGCATCGCCCACGGTCCACGTGAAGCCGATGCTAATTGTACCCATAAATCAATTAAAATATCAAAAAAAATTGCGGCGGCGACGTTGTAGCTTTCGATGAGGGAGTGTCACTGGCCAGGTTCCACTCGGTGCACTGCTGGCCACCACACCTCCTTAGAGTTGATACCATTTTAGGGCGAAGCTTCGGTCCTTGTGCTAGTGTTGAGGATGGTACGACGCGTGTCAGGTCGAGCGTGTGCGTGCCTGAGGGTCATTGTATTTAAAAACGTTTCTACTCTCTTGCTTTTTTAGGTACCGATCAAGCCCTTTTGGTAGCAGAGTTTTTTTCGCACTGTCATCTTAGTTGAAAAGATGAAGAAGCAGGGCGGTAGAGGCTTCCTCTGCGCCCTCATTATGTTGCTAGCCCTTGCTTCACCAGCGCTGTCGCAGACAGAAGACCCCACCACCGGCCTTCCCCGCAGTACGTGTCCCTCATAATCCTCTGCACATCACTTCCTTGCCGGTGTGCCTCACTTTGATGGCAGGTGGCCACCTCCCCACGCTTCATTTCCTCTGATTCACCTCCCATGCTTGTTTGTTTATTTTGTTATTCCAATCAATATGCAGATTTCTGTAAGGGCGTCACTACCCTGACTGCTGCGTCCGGCACCATCGCCGACCATGACGGGTTGGGCTCCTATACCATCAACACGGAGTGCAAGTGGTACATCACGCCACAGCTGGCCAGCGGGCGCGCGGCTGACCAGGTCATTCTGACAATCACCAAACTGGTGCGCCTCAGCTCTGGCCAGAGTGCCATTCTCGTCCTGTTTCCCGCCCTAACTGCCATGCAGGACCTCGAGTTCTGGTATGACTTCGTGGACATCTACAGAGGCATTGGAACCGACAACATCGTCCAGTGGTACTATGCACCCCATTCCTAGTTTGCTAGTAGTGATGTGGACACGAGAGTGAGAGCACTCCCACCCACAATTCAGGTTGACGGGCGAGGACTCGCCCGCCAACTTGAACCAAACCATCGTCCTCGATGGGTCCTCAGCCACCGTCCTCTTCTCCTCCGACATCGACATCACCCGCTCTGGCTTCCGCCTCACCTACCAAGGAGGCACAGCCCACCCCTCAAAAAAAAGAGAACCCCTTCTTTGCTCATCTTCTGTTTTCATCATTTCCCCCCTTCAGTCGACTGCAACCGCTTGGACAGGTGCAACGGGAACGGCGTGTGCACTGCCAATGGATCGAGATTCTATTGCGCCTGCAATGAAGGTTGGAATGGGAGCACCTGCGCCCTGCCACTGCCCAACCAGCCCGCCCCCAGTACGCGTCTGCCCCCCCCCCGCGGTGAAGTAAAATTCTTACCTTCTTGCGCTGCGCAGAGTTCTGCTCGGGTTCGCGTACGCTGACCGCACTCAACGGCACCTTCTCGGAGCGCACCACCGGCACCCAATACCGCAACAACCAAGACTGCCGCTGGTCCATCAATCCTGCGAGTATAGTCCCCTTCTTTTCTTATTTCTATTTTTGGTTTATTTATTTATTTATTTACAATCCTTATCGCACACCACATCACAGGCACGGTTGGTGCTGGGAACGCCTACTCGCTCGACCTCTACTTCCACAAGCAAGTGACAGAGAAGGATTACGACTTTGTGACCGTCCAAGACGCCGAGGGCAGTGCCGGTACGCGTGGACGTTTCCGCTCACTCCTGGTCTAGTCAGTTCGTTCACACTGCGGGTCTGGCCATATTGGCATATGTGTCTGCGTGTGTGGCGTGTGGCGTGCGGCGCGTCACGAACAGAGGTCTACACGGGCACTGACATGCCGCAACCTGTACACTTGGGCTCGGGCTCGGGCGTGGTCACCTTCTCCTCCGATCTGGGAATCGTTCAATCGGGATTCTCCGCCTCCTACACCACCCGTATGAAAACGACGCACATATCTCGTGCCAGCTTCTTCTGGCCATTCCTGGCTGACATCTCTTCTTCCTTCCTCTTGCACTCGTGACTTGCCAGGAGTGTGCGCGGGTGGCTGTGGAAATGGAACGTGCGTGAGTGGCAAGTGCCTGTGCAACTACGGCTACTTGGGTTCGTCCTGCGAGCGGAGTACGGTTCCCCTTTCCGCACGACACACGTACCCACGCACACATATTCAAGTACACTCTGGTGCCGTGCGCCGTGTGTCGTGTGTTTTCTGCGGATGTGCAGTGGGCTGTCCGGATGCTTGCTATTCTGCCAATGGCTGGGGCAGTTGCACGACTTCAGGGTGCTCGTGCATGGCAAACCGGGGACCCGATTGCTCCCTTTGCATCCCTGGAAACTGTACCCCGGGTACGTAACGTATCCCTCAACCGCCCCTGTATCTGTCTTACGCCCGAGCGCGTGTTGGAGTGAAGGGACTGACCACCTTGATGCCCTGCTTGGCCTGCGTAGTGTGTGACTTCACCAGCATAACCCGCCGTGGCCGCTATGAGGGACCAGTGTACGTTTTTTTTTTTGGTTTTGTTTTTTCTTTTGGATGCAACGTTGCAGTCACGCTCGACACTCACGCGTGCGTCGGGTCTCTGCAGAACCGGGTCCGGATCCTGTAAGTGGTCCATCACGCCCGCCGATGTGGACACGATCGTCATCTCCTTCATCTACATGCGTACGTTGAAAAACGTCTTGATGATTCCTTTTCGCAATTCGTTCATTGTCCTTTGGGGTACCTCCTCAACGCTTGAACCGCACCACAGCGCAATCGGCAATTGTCGAGATTGCGGACAACAGCGGCAACGTTGTGTGGTCTTACGCCCGCTCCGCCAATCTGTACAACAACTGTACGAACGCCCCTCGTGCTCTCTCTCTCTCTCTCTCTCTCTTTCTCTCTCGGACAAGCTTGACGTGTTGCTAACAATACCCCGACCATTTCGCCAGCACGGCTGCCCACGCCGGTCGTGGTGTCCTCGAGTAGCGCGTCAGTCACCTTTACAAATTCGACGTTTGCCGGGACACAGCTCTTGTACACGTCCTGTACGTAGAAGATCTCTCGCTCTTCGATCCGTTGGTCGAAATGTTTTTATTGATGTTGTGGTGGACAGTTGCGTGTCAGGAGCAGTGCCGCGGGCACGGTGATTGTCTCCCGCTCGCCTATTACGGCGAACAAGTATGTAGCTGCCACGTGGGTTGGGAGGGCGAATTCTGCGACAAACGTGCGCCCCGCCGCTCCTCTCTTACGAAGAAAAAAGCGATTACTACTGTAAACATGGTATGATTGGGCTGAAATGGGGTGTGTGTCGTGTGTCGTGTGTGTGGTGCGTGCCTCCAGCGACGTGTGTCGGAGATTGCTTTGGTCACGGCCAGTGCCAGCCCAACTACCCCAATGGTTCGACATTGGCGTACGGCACAAAGTGCGTGTGCGACCCAGGCTACTACGGACCTTTCTGTTCTCTCCGTGCGTAGCTCAACAACAACAACAACAACAACAAACAACAACAACCAAACAACAACAACAACAACAACAACAACAACAACCAAACAACAACAACCAAACAACAACAACCAAACTGACAATGTGCCGCCCCTTTGAAATAGCCTACTGCCAGGATGACCAAGTAACTGACCTGACCGGTTCCAAGGGCATGCTGCAAGATCGCGCCGAGGGTCAATCCACCAGGTCCTCCCGCCCTCCGCCGTGTCATGCACCCCGCAGGGCGGAAACTCACTCACGACACTCGCTCGGCTGGCTGGTTGTAGAGTTGGTTCCCGCTGCGCGTGGCGTATCATGCCCGCCACGCCGGCCAATGTCACGCTCTACTTCACCCGCTTTGCGCTCGCCAGTCCCAGCGACGACGCCATCTCGATATTTGACGGCCCCTCCTCCTCCTCGCGGGCCCTGGCCTCCTTCGGGTACGGGCGGCAAACAAGTGCTTTGTAAATGTTTTTCTTTTATTTAGTCTCATTTTCTCACTAAGCGGTCTTGTTATGTTTTTATTTTTATTTTTATTTATTTTGACAGCGGCTCGTACGCTCCGCCAGCAGTGACGTCATCGCAGGGCGCGCTATACGTCACCTTGACTACGGACGAGGTGCTGCCCAGCGTGGCCGGCCCGCTCAGCGGATTCCAGGCATACTACATCGCCAATGGTGCGTGCAGATGCGTATCATATCATGTGTGCCGTGTGTGCCGTGTGGTTTTCGTGAGTGTCGGCTTATGCCGTCTTTCTCTACAGATCCGGCGTGCGGAAGCTGCGGCAGGAACGGCTACTGCGACCCCGTTTCCAAGCAGTGCGTGTGCTTCTCGGGTGCAATTGGCACCAAGTGCAATGCCACCGCGTCCACCGCCAACGCCACCGCGCTCGAGCGCGATGAGATGATAAACGGTACACCGTGGATCCACCGTCAGAGCTCAGAGCTCGGACTCCCACACTCGCTACTGCCCGGCGCCCATCACTCAATCGAGCACGTTGTTACTTCTGGTTGTTGTTGGTTCTGCGTGCGCGTACAGATTCCCTAAGGCTGTTAGAGTGGAAGTGGTACCGCCTGTCGATTCCCTCGACCGACCCCGCTGCGGTGGCCCACGTGATCCTGGGCCGACAACCCGACAACCCGACATCGTACCAGCTCTTCTCTCCGCCACACCGCATCTTTATTGATTTCGTTGCATTCGCGCTCGCTAATTCAACACATACACGCACGCGCGCACCGCACAGCGAGAACTTGCAGCTGCGCGTCCGCCGAGGGGCGTTGCCGATCAGCGACGACACCACGGAACTGTCGGACCTCACCAATAATGAGGTTCGTAGATCTCTCTCTCTCTTGTGTGTGGTGGTGGTGGTGGTGGTGGTGGTGGTGGTGGTGGTGGTGGTGGTGGTGGTGGTGGTGGTGTGTTGCTCACAAGGACCCATTGCAGGAGAAGTACGTTGTCCTCGCCCCTCCGCAGGGCGAATGGTACGCGGGTGTTCAGAACATGGACAAGGACGGCAACGTCGCCCACTATACCATCTCCTACCTGGGTACGTTCGTCTTATGTCATCAGCTCCGGTCATTTCCACTTGACCTCCACTAACGCGTTGCGCGCAGTTGGGTGCCCCGCGTGTCGCAACGGCGGCACCTGCTCGGCGGCGACTGAGTACAAGTGTAAGTGCACGAGCTCGTACACGGGCGAGCTGTGCTCTACCAAGATCACGACGAGCGACTCTGATAGCGGCGCCGTAGTTGGTACGAATCATCAATTTATCTGTCGTTGTCGTGTGTTGGTTACTTGGATGTAATGAGTTGGCTGTGATGATGGTTGGTGGGTTGTGTGTGATCACAGCCGGAGTGGTGTTCCTCATCTTCGTGATCGTTGTGGCGGCGGCCGCGCTCGGCTTCGTGGCCTACAAGCGCTCTGATCAGGTCAAGGCCTATTTCGCCCGCTTCACGTCGAACGGCTTCGTGCAGACCGACAACCCGCACCCGGCCGTGGCGCAACGCAGCAGGGCCGACCAGATGGGCGACTTCCAGCGCCTCTAAAGATGACCCTCTTGACCGGTCATCCTTCTCCACTCGCTTGTGTGTAGAAGACGAGGTCTGTGTTCTATGTTCTATGTAGTGTGGGTGTTTTCAGTGATTTAAAATTTGACAAGAGGATGAGCGAGGACGAAGATGAAGGAGGAATGCTGGGTGATTTCTTCAGCAAGAAGACACATCGCACGCCCAACTTCGAGGTGGAGGCGTTCGGACGCCGTACCATCTCGATAGCGCAGGAATCGCGCATGCATCTCGGCGGCCGCGTGTGGGGTGCCAGCGTCCACATGCTGCGCTACTTCGCCCACTCCATCGAGTCATCCACGGCTTGCCGTGATCTCTCGTGGCACCGACCAACGCTACTCGAATTGGGCGCCGGCACAGGCCTTCTCGGGATTGGCATGGCCTTAGCACCATCTCCCGCCCCTGATCGGCGAGTCGAGGTGCGATTGACCGATAAAGCAGACCTCCTACCACAAATTGAGGACAACATTCGCGCCAATCTCGAGGAAGATGAGATTGGCCGAGTAGCGGCGATGGAGCTGGATTGGATGAGATGGGAAGATGCCAGCTACTGGACCCAGGGCGGCGCCGGCCACAGGGCAGCGGCCGGCGTCGAGGTGGTGCTCGCCGCCGACTGCATCTACTTCGCCTCCCTCTACCGCCCGTTCATCGAGACCCTCAAGCAGATCTGCCACATCAACTCCATCAACGCCTCCAGCGGCCATCGTCGCATCGTGTGCTACCTCTGCAACGACGACGGCCGCACAGCGCAGAATCGAACGAGCACCGAGCCCGAGCAGCACCAGGGTACCGCACCCCTGGCTTTGCCGTGGCCGCACCTCTTCGTTGACGTGTGTGTCATGTGTCGTGTGTGTCGTGTGTGTTGTGTGTGTTGCGCGTTTCCCGAAGCTGCAGCCGGAGCGCGGTGGGACGACGAGTTCTTCCGGCTGCTGGCGGCCGACTTTGCCTTCGAGCTGGTTGACGCCGACGCCGTGCTGCCCCCAGGCCAACGCAACAGCGACATGCGTATGTATCGAGTGTGGCTCAAGTCGTCATGACGTCTCATTGCCAGCCAGCCAGCCAGCCAACCAACCACGCCCACTGTCACTTCGCTTTGCTTCGCTCCAGCGCAGCGTTGCCGCTCTAGTAGCGACCCTCACGGATGAGGGTCAGCACGGCGTCGGCGAAGTGGGCGTAGTCCTGCTTCTCGAGGTAGATCTGGCCCGAGATGCGCACCACCAGGCCCAGCTCCGGCAGGGGGAAGATCATCGCCTGAACGAGGTCCGAGCAGTGAGTGCGACACGACACACACACGACACACATGACACACACGTGAGTTGGGTACCTCGATCTTGAAGTCGTCCCAGAGCAGTTGGCAGATGGCGTCGGCGCCTTGGCCGTCCTCGTCGTGGTGCGCGGGCTTCGGCATGCGGATCAGCGCCTGCTCGCGACACGACACGACACGACACGACAGAGAGCGTCATGAGACGCCGATTGCCGTGCATCTGCACATGGCAGCCATCAGCAAACGCACCATGGCCGCAAAGTCGGCTGGCGGCACCACCACCTCCGTATCCCACGCCTTGGCCAACTCGTTGGCTGCGTGTCGCGTGTGTCGCGTGTTGTGAGCGTTGTGTCGTGAGCACAGCGGAGAAGGGAGAGAAAGGGTTACCTGCGTCGGTCACCAGTTCGTTGCTGTAGGCCATGATCTTCTCCGCACCACAGAGCTCGACGAACTTGATCGCGCTCACCACCGACAGGAACGGCGTGTAGTCGTCCGTCGCTGCAGGTCCGATTTTTACATCTTATGTCAGTGTTGTAATTGTATATTGTTATTATTCTTCTTTTATTGTTTTGTTATTATTTGTTATTATTGTTTTATTATTATTGTTCGTTATTACCTTGCCAGATGAACTCTGAGTGGAAGCCCTGGTCGTAGCCGTGAGAGATGACCGCCGGTCGCACCTCCTTGTGGAGCTCCTCCTTCACCCTTAACGACACGCTCGGGTCAGCAAAACCAGCCCAAGCGTGTGCGGTGGTGCGTGTGTCGTGTCGTGTCGTGTCGTGTCGTGTCGTAGGAAGCGCACCAGGCGAACGCGCAGCCACGGGGCGCGTAGAGCCACTTGTGACAGTTGGAGACGAAGTAGTCGGCATTGAGTTCGTGGAGGTTGAGCGGAACCTGGCCCACCACGTGCGCGCCATCGACCAACGCCCTCGCGCCGTGCGCGTGTATGAGCTCCACCAACTCTTTCTGCGCCACGGCACACACGACACACGACACACGACACACGACACACGACACACGACACACGAGTGAGCGGCATGCGAGGCGGACGAATGCAGAGCCGAAGCGAAGCGCGGGGGTTACCATGGGGAGGACCATGCCCAGCGGGGAGATGATGTGGTCGAGCAGCACCACCCGGATCTTCTTCTCCTTGTCGTTCTCCAGCGCCTCCTTGATCTTGTCGATCACCTGCCACAGGCACGCACACGCACACGCACACAACCTTGAGTCGCGTGCGGTGTGGCGTGTGCGCGTGTGTGCGTGCGTGCGCGTGTGTGCGTGTGCGTGTGTGTGTTACCTGTCGGCCGGTGGGATGGCTGTCGATTTGGACTTCGATGATATCCACCTTCTGCCGGGGCAGCACATACTGGAGGGTCTTCTTGATGGCGCCGTAGGTGAAGTTCATGCAGAGCAGCGCGTCGCCCAACTGGAAGGGGAACGACCGGAGGATGGCGTTGATGGCAGTCGTAGCATTCCGAGCGAACACCACCTCGTGCGGTTTCGCCCCTTCATGTGTGTCGTGTCGAGTGAGGTGGTGCGTGTCGTGTCGTATGAGACGCGCGGTTCATAAGAAGAAGAAGAACGAAGAACGAAGAAGAAAAGAGAATGGGTTTCTTTACCAATGAACTTGGCCAGACCGCGCACGGCGTGGCTGATGAGCGGAAACAGTTCGCAGTTGAACCAGCGGCACGGCTGCTCCTCCTGCACGACGCACACGCACACGCACACGCACACGCACACGCACACGCACACGCACACGCACACGACCATCATCAGCACAAGTGGGCGGAGCTGTCAGGCAGCTCAGACGAACCACGTGATCAAGCCACTGGGCGTGGATCTGCTTGACCGGACGCGGCATGGCCCCGTAGGAGCCGTGGTTGAGGAAGTGCACGCCCTCCTTGAAGTGGAACCACTTCCTCATCTCGGCGCCTGCCGTGTGCGGTCGTGGTGTCGCGTGTCGTGCGTTTTCGTGCACTGAGTGAATGAACGCCACACATAGACGGGCGTGCGAAGTCGTACCGAACGCGGGAGGGCCGTTCTTGGCCCACTCGGCCTCGAGGGCGGGCGAGAACAGCGGGAAGGGCAGCTCTGGCGCGGTGTAGTCGGCGTCGTGCTGGTGCAGCAGCGCCACTGCGCGGCTGTAGTTCGCCGAACCCTGACCTGCAACACACATTCGTTGGATTAAAATCAATTTATTTATTGATTTAAAATAAATTGATTTTAATCCAAACCCAAACCAGTCAAGGGCTGTGACACCACCAACCCACCTTTGGGCTTCTCGGCGACTGGCGCCGCGAGGGCAACAACGTCAGCCTTGCTCTCCATCAGAAGATCAGCAACTGATTTAGAGCGTGCCACGCCAGCGAGTACGGCTTGGGGGAAACGAATTTACTGAAAGTTGTACAAAAAAACACAAAACCCTTTGACACAGAACAACAAAACCAACACTCTGAGCTCTGCTGCACTTGAGACAAGACCCTCACTCGTACTTCTACCACTACATACATGGAGACCACATCGTTTGACGAGGAAAAGACCGGTACCGGACCCTCACCAACACGACCCTTACGCCTCGGTGGTGAAGGTCTTGCGGCGCTCCTCTCGGCAGACCCTCACCCCGGAGAGGGTGAGGATCTTGCCGGTGAGGTTCTCTCTGGGAGCGCCGCAAGACCTTCATCACTGCCTTCTCACACCTTCAATGGTTCTTGCCTGACCTTCACTCTTCTCCGTGGCCCGGTGGTGCAGGGTTCTACGTGACGCCCAAGCTCGACTGCCCGCATATCGCGCAGCACGTCAGATGCAACGCGTCCAAGGAGGCGCTCAAGGCAGTTGCTGCCCTGGGGCCGTGCGAGACCTGCCACGACCCCAAGGAGAACTGGGCATGCCTCCAGTGTACGTTCATCTACTGGCCTCGATGCAGTCGTCGTGTAGAGAGTGCACTCCCCCACAAAGGTAGTGGCTAACACCAACGTTGGTGTACACCACAGGCGGCAAGAAGTTCTGCTCGCGCTACGTGGCGGGACACATGAAGGAGCACAACACCCAGTCGGGCCACGCCATCACCGTGAGCTACTCGGACTTCTCCTTCTGGTGCTACGAATGCGACTCCTACATCGCCCACGACATCTTCCGACCCCTCCTCGCCCTGTACGTTGGCGCCCCGCCCCGCTACATGTTCAACAAAATACTCGACGTTGAGTCTCTACTCGGCGCTTGGCCCAAGCCTTGCTGACGTCACGGCTTCAGGCTCAAGGAGAGCAAGTTCGGTGATGCCGGGACGGGCGGGCGCTACACGGCGCACAAGACCCACACCCAGATGGAGGAGATCGAAGAGAAGCCCGAGGAGCTGGCGGCCAAGATCAAGGCGCTGGCCGGCATGATCCGCGACTCCAAGCACTGCGTGTTCTTCACGGGCGCCGGCGTGTCGACCTCGGCCGGCATTCCTGACTACCGCGGACCCGAGGGCGTGTGGACGCTCAAGGCCACGGGTGGGCAGCGCAAGACCAAGGCCGTGCCGATGCTCAGCGCGCTGCCGACCGTCACCCACATGGCCATGGTGAAGCTGCACGACGTGGATCGCATGCACTATCTCGTGTCGCAGAACGTCGACGGCATTCACCGCAAGAGCGGCATCCACCCGCAGCGCCTGTGCGAGCTGCACGGCAACTCCAACCTCGAGGTTTTCCCAGCACGCATATGCCATGGTGACAACATTTTGTTGACATCATAGTGTGACCATTGATTGTGGGACCAGGTGTGCTGCTGGTGCGGCAAGGAGTACATGAGGGACTTTGACACGTGCCACAACTCCGCCGCCGGGTCGCACGAGACCGGCAGGCGCTGCACTGCACCGGGTTGTGGCGGCCCGCTGCTCGACACCATCATCAACTTTGGCGAGAATCTCCCCAAGAAGGTGGGCCTCTCATCTTCTTCTCTAGGGCGGTAGTGGGTGTGGGGACTGATGTGTAAGGCATGTACGTGATATGTGCAGGATCTGGAGCGCGCGTACGATGAGTGCGACAAGGCCGACCTGATCGTGTGCCTCGGATCGTCACTTACCGTGTCGCCGGCCAACGATCTCCCCAAGCGGGTGGCCAAGCGCGGAGGCAACCTAGTCATTGTTAACCTGCAGAGGACTCCTCTCGACAGCCTCAGGTACAACGAGACCTTCTTTTCCTGGGTCCGTACCACTGGCTTACGCTTAAGTTTTCGCTCGCAGCACGCTGCGCATCCATGGCCGAACCGACGAGGTCATGAAGGGAGTGATGGAGGAGCTGGGTATCGAAGTGCCCTCGTTCATCCTCAACCGATTCGTCCGAGTCCAGCACACCAAGCAGTCCCTCACGGGTACATCATTTGCGTCCTCCCACTTGGTTTTTCTCGTATTCGCTCATTAAATGGTTCCCATCTATATGAGCAGTTGAGGCCTTGGATGTGGACGGGACACCCATCTCGCTCTTCACTACCGTCAAGGCCCAGTTCCTGCCGGCGGGCAAGGTCCACAAGAAGCAGACCCAGTCCGTCCTGGGCCGCATGGAGACCTCCTACGTCTTCGAGCGCACCGGCGACGAAGATGCCTCAGAAGTCAAGATCGAGCTCCAGTTCATGGGCCACTACAGGGAACCTTCGTTCCGCTTCACATACGCCGTACACACCCACACCTGCGCCTCTCATCTTCTTGTGGTACCGATCGCGTGAGCTGGTGATGAGCTAAACGAACTCCATGACACTACGCAGTTGGAGAAGGAGAGCAGCGACAAGAGGTTCATGATCAGCTTCAACCCGGAGGAGGCCAGGTGGGACATCAAGGAGGTGGAGTCGGCCGGCGCTGCCGAGACCGAAGGCAAGACCGGACCCGAGCACTGGCCCAAGATGGCGCAGGACTCGACCCACGAGCACCCGCTCAAGCTCAAGAAGGCCGTCTACAACGGCATCTACAGGTTCGAGCCCCGCCCTCCTCACTTGTGTTGCTCCACGGTTCTATCATCAGCTCACCTGTCATGTGCCGTTCTGGCTCGCGTATGTTCAGGTGCAACAAGTGCATGCGTCCGGGCACGGGCTGGGTCTACCACTGCAAGCCGTGCGCGTTCGATCTTCACGCCTTCTGCTGTGACAAGCACTAGTGGCTTGGCCCTTCTGTCCAACAACCCATAAAACTATGACATGTTTCTCCAGCTGCAATGAACGTAGATTTAGATATTTGTGTTGTTGCCTTGGCTTCAAACAATGACAGAGGGAATGAAGAAGATCAAAAAGATGAAGATTACCGCTGGAGGGAGTTGAACCCTCCGGGTAGGCACTGTACAGGCTTCAGTCTCCTAACATGGCTACTCCCACATCAGCGGCCCTCAGTACTCCTTTGACGGAGGAGGGTGCGATATTAGACAAAGGGAGAGCAAGATACCTACCCCCCAACCCTTGGCAGTGGTTTGTTGAGGTTCTATCTTCGTATGGTCGTTGCCTGGCCCAGCCCCACTTGAACCCTCTTGTGTGGCCCAGCGATGGCCATTATGGGATCAACTTTTTTTTTCGCTAAACTCGACTGGCCGCACCACTTTCTCTGGCCTACGCTAGATTGCAACATTAGAATATTATTATGTAACTGTGCCTCAAAGTTCGCAAGCCGTGGGAGGTTCGTCGTAACGAAATCATCTTATGGAGGCAGAAAAGGGAGGGCCGGTGGAGGCGTGGGCTCGCGCCAACGACGTCAGCGATCTTTGTCCTGTCCTCATCTCCAATGGCTTCACCACGCTCGCCTCCATCCAGCGGCTCGACTTGGACGACATGCGCGAGATGGGGGTCACGCGGCCAGGCGATCGCAAGCGATTGCTCATAGCTGTGGAGTCCTTCGCCAATGCCCCCATCCCTGCTACGCCGCAATTCATGATCACTCAGACGCCTGCTGCACTTCATCTGCCCGCCCCCGAACCACATCTGGCGCCTCCCACACTACCCTCTCCAACGAAACCAGACATTCGCATCCCGCCTACGCGCAATCCAAAGAGGTGCAAGACGAAGTGCCACCAGTACCACATCCCTGGCGAGCGTCATCAATGCGGGCCAGAGGATGTCTGCAAGGGCTTCGAGGTATGCGGGCATCTCGACCTGCACCCGGATGAAAAGAAGCGCCGACGCGCAGAGAAGAAGAGCGAGAGGAAGCGACGCAAGACGCTCGAACAGGAGGAAGAAGGCGAATGGAAGAAAAAGAAAGATGAGCTGCTACGCGTCAAGCGGCTGCCGCAATTCGACGGATGGTGGCAGGCGCAGCTGGAGGAGGTGGTGCGCTGCGACCCTGACCAGTACAGCCTCGAAGAGGGGACGAGGAAGAGAGCACAGGCGATGGCCGCAGTGGCGCGCAAGTACACTGAGTTCCGTCGCGTGCTACGTCGCGAGGCGGCCATCAACACTCAAATCGAGACCGAGCTACGCGCCAGCGGGATGAAGCTGTCCCTCGACGCTGAAGTCGAGTACATCGCCAGGAGGCAGAAGGAGCTGGCGAGCGCCTTGGAAGAGAAAGAGGTGCCAGCAGATGAGCAGGGAGGAGATGAAGAGCTTCCGTGAAGCCTGGACCGACATACTCCTCTCCCAATTCCACTTGATTGTACAGACACAATATTTATTTATTTCTTTTCATATTATTTTTATTGAAATATAAAACAAGAACATGGATCGGGTCGGCTCTGCTCACTCTATTGACATGCTGCTGGGCGAGCTCGATGACGACGAGTACTATGACCCCGCCTCCTCTTTCTCACTGCCGCACTCTGCACTCCTAATCGACCGTCATTCATGAATTGAAAATAATGATTTTTGTGCATGCTACTCGATCTGCGGACTCACCACTTCTTCCACCCATGTGCCTGCCAGCGGGCTGGCCGAGCTGGAGCAGGAGCTGGGGTTGAACGACGACGCGGGCGGGTCGGGCGAGTACCCCATGACCGTACTGCACTCCCACTCGGCCGGCGGTGGTGGGTTCGCGCCGCCAACACGAGGCTCGGGCGGCTTCTCCAGCTTCCTGTCGTCATCGCCCACGACGGCGTCCTCCTCTTCATCATCGCTTTCATTCGGCCGCGGCGACGGCAGTGGCGTCGGCGGCGGCGATGCCGAGCGGGGCGAGCTGGCCATCGTGCAGCACTACAAGTCAAAGTTCAGCAACGACGCCCTCAAAGCCCAGGACGCGGCTGACAACACGATCAAGGCCGTCTTCATCATCAAGTTTGATGTCAATGAGGGTGAGCTGCGTGTGCGGTGTGCGTGTTGCCGGGGCAGTGACTTACACTCATGATCCCCTCGCAGGCAACGTGATCGCGTGGCAGTACCCGAAGGACATCGATCTGTCGGGAATCGAATTCAAGGCCATGGCCAGCGGTTCCCATAACGTCGATTCCGACATTGTGTACGTACCAGCGTTGCCTCGATCCAGACCCTGCACCGCTTGATGAGAGACTCACGGTACTTGTGTGTGGTGTGTGTGTGTGTGTGGTCCATTGTTTAGATATTTCAAGGTGGGCGACCTCTACGGCGTGTCGTGCTACGAGAAGCGGCTCATGCGCGGTAATGTCGAGCTCCGAGGCGTGCTCATGAGCGCCGTCGGCTTGCTCAGCACCAACTACCACAACCACCACCACCACATCTCCTTTCTCTCCGACCAGGTCCAGTACGTTCATCCATTCTTTTTCTTTTTTTTTCTTTTTTCTTTTGTTATTCATTGCTTTTGTAATTGACATTTAAATCGACTTGGCAGTGGGGTCAACCACGTGCCAGCGTTTGATCACGAGCTGCTCGTGGAGTACTTCCACAGCTCGCACCAGGTGTTGGACAACCAGACGTCCACGTCATCATCGTCGTCGTCTTCTTCTTCTTCATCACCACCGTCGCCTTTGCCCTCGTCGCCGCTCGTGTCGCGCATCCCGCACGGCTACTTCATCTCCTTCCTGCGCCACTTTGGGCCGCACGTCTTCTCGATCTGGAAGAGCGTGCTGCTGCGCCAACGCATCCTCTTCTACGCGCCGCCGCCGGTGCGCGCCACCTGCGCCCACGTCTACTGCGCCAACATGCTGGCCTACACCCGCGTGCGGCAGTTCCGGTGGGACGCCAACCCGCTGTTCTACGTCAACATCAACGACATGAAGGTTCTCCACGAGCAGGAGACCTTCATCGCGGCCACCACGGAGGCCATCTTCCAGAAGAAGTTCAACATCTACGACGTCTACGTGGCCAAGTACAACTTCCACATGCCCACCAAGGAGGCCGAGCTGCCGCTCCGGGTGACCGACGGCGATCGGTCGCGCTACCGATACCTCCTCGAGATCGTGTCGACCTATCTCGACACCTACAAAGCCGAACAACATCTCATCAAGTACACATCACCGCACACGCCGCACACGCCGCACACGCTGCTCACACGCACACACCGCACACGCACACGCACACGATTAACGTTTCTGACATTTGCGTGTGGCCAGGTTCTTTCTGGGGCTCAACAATCGGCTGTTCGAGGGCCTGCTGCGGGCACACCAGGAGGGCGAGGTGGTGCAGGCGTCGGACCTCCCCGAACGCTTCGGCCTCCACTCGAGCGACCTCACCTTCTTCTCGGCGCTCGCGGGCACGCTCAACCTCAACTTCCCCGTGGCCCCGCCCAAGAGCTGCCTGTGCTGCTGAACCCATCCGAGTTCATATCCCCCCCCCCTCTTTCACTCTCTCGCTGATTTTGATTTTGATTTTGTACAGCATTCTCGTCTGGCGTGTGTCGTGTCGTGTCGTTGGTCGTGTCGTGTGGTGTGTCGTGTCGTGTCGTGTCGTGTCGTGTCGTGTCGTGTGTCGTGTCGTGTCGGAGTTTGGTGAAAAACAAGAAGGAGCGTTGCTCTGCGGGGAGGATCGGGGTCAAGTTCAAAAATGGGGGCTGGGCCGAAAAAGGAGAGTTCTATCCATATTTGGGCAACGCCGCCAATGTCAAGTACCCCCTTCCCGAGGCCTCCTCTGAGCGTAGAGAGAGGAGATAGATAGAGGAGAGAGAGAGAGAAAGAGTGAGAGATTGGTTGTGAGTGAGCGAGGGGAGCCGAAAAGGGATCCTTCATCCCCTGCTGCGGTCTTCTTCATCATCATCCCCTCTCCTGCTCTCTTCTGATATTCCTCTTTCACTATTACATCTCTATTTCTTCTCTCCATCTCTGCGCTACCTCCCCCCCCAATATCACCTTTCCCTCCACTCCGCTCTCTCTTCGCCCTTCGACGAAGAACACATTATCTCGCCCATCGAATCGATGCCAAGTGGATTGTGAGCTGAGCGGACTCTGCTAGCCGACTCGCTCCCCCTCTCTACGTCTCGACCACACCATCTTCCTCTCCAACCACCATCACCTCTCTCCCTCCCACAGCCACACAATGAAAAAGCATCCCAGCCTGCGTATGCCGGCCCGCTGGTTCGGTGCGCGACGAGATGCGGTCTTCGACCCCCTCAAGCCCGGCGTACCCCCCATCGTCGAGGGACCCATCTCTTATCTCGAGAAGAACGGTACATACCCTCCCCCCCCAACTCTCAATCCCTTTTCTTCTTCTCTTCCCCCCTTCCAAAAGAAGTCGTTGCACTCGCTACACGGCTACTTTCATTGGCGCTGCATGCAAGCCTGTGTAGTGTAGTGTAGTGTAGAGAATTGGTCTTTCTGTTTGCTTTGGCACTGAATGGGTTGTGTTGTGTTTGGCATGTAGGAGTGAACACAGAGGGTCTCTTTCGAACGGCTGGCTCGGCGGCCACCTCTCGGGTGATCAAGGCGCGCTTCGACAAAGGTAGAACAACTACGTTCTTCTTCTTCTTACTCGCTCTCCTTCCCTTCGAGCGTGTCGCTCACTACGCACGGTCGGCAGGCAAGCCGGTGGACCTTTCCAATCTTGACGTGCACACCGTGGCCGGCGTGGTGACTCTCTTCTTCAACAAACTCCCCAATCCGCTGCTCACCACAGAGCTCTACGATTGCTTCATCACAGCCGTCGGTACGTTGCGTTGCGTTGCGTTTGTCATCGTTTTGTTGCTTGAGTCGTGTCTGCCCGCGTGCGGTGCGTGTCTCGTCCCGCACACGCACGTGCGTCGGCTGATTGGCAATCATCGACCGATGGAACCGCGCAGAGGTGCCCGACGAGGAGACACGACTCGAATGCATCCGGCAATGCCTGGAACTGCTACCGCCGGGCAACAAAGCGGTGCTCGCTCGTCTCGTAGGGTTCCTGAAGGTGGTGGCCGAAAACAAGGTAATACGATTGCTATGTGTACTGTATTGTGTGCTGCATGCGTCGTGAGTCGTGTTGTGTGTCGTTTGGTGTGCCTTGTGTCGAGTTTCGGGTGTGGCTCACAACCCACTCCGCGTGGGACGAGCACCAGGCCATTACGAAGATGGATTCGCGCAATCTGGCGATCGTTTTTGCTCCCACCATCCTGCGACCACCCGACGCGCCCGAGGGCGAGGAGAACTCCATCGCGGCGCTCCTCGGCGACTCGCTGCTCGCCCACAAGCTCATGGAAGCATTCATCAAGAACTACGACGATCTGCTCGGGGTACTCCATAAACCACTTCTTCTAAATTTATCTCTTCTCGTTAAATAGGTGTAGATAGGTGTATGGGTTTCTTTGTCAAGAAGTGGTAACTAATGGTCAATATATCGTATGTGCAGACCAACAAACCGGTGTGCCGACTGAAGATCCGGCATTCGCTGACGCCCGTCCAACAAGCGGCATTCTTTCGCACCATCAAGCGCGGCACCATCAAGATCGCTGAAGCCATGCTCACGTACGCTGTCGGCCGCACAACGCGCAACACAACACAACACAACACAACGCAGCGCAACGCAACACAACACAACACACCAATACACAAAACACCACCGCACATGTCTGACTCCTCTATTATGCAGATATGATGGGATCGGCAGCCCAATGCCACCTCCCCCACCGCCTCCCCCGCCCCCGCTGGTGCCGCTCGACGAACCGAGCGCCGCAGATACGAAGAAGGAGAAGCGGGCGCGAAGTCGGAAGGAGAAGGCCAGTAGGAAGGAGCGGAAGAGCAGCATTTCACGCAGCGGCGGCGGCGGCGGTGCGACGACGACACCGACGCCGCCGACCCCGACGTCGCCCTTCCCGGGCGTGCCGCTCCACACGGCGTCGCGGCCGCTGGACGCGCTGCCGGAGGTGGGTCCGACTGGCGGCGGCAAATCGCGGCGCCTGCTCTCCAGCCAGGACGAGGAGTACTGGTTCGGGACCTACAGCGGATCGGACAGCGAGGAGGAATGTACGACGAACACCCGAAACGACACGCACACGCACCACCTCACACGCACCACCGCACCCGCACACGACGCACATATCTCACTTCTTTCGATTGGTCCAGCGTATGAGCTCGATGCAAACACAGTGACTGCCCCGCATCCGGTATGAGACACTCTGGTGTCGTGTGGTGTCGTGTGTGTGTCGTGTCTTACGATTCCTCGATTTCGACGCAGTCCGAGGGCGATGGCGCACACAACAAGAAGGCCGCACGGCGGAAGGGCGCGATGCTGTCGGCCAGCGCCGGCATAGTCCACTCCGCCGAGTCCGCGGCGCAGCACCAGGAGCTGCTCACCGCGTCGATGCCCCAGACCGCGCGCAGCTCAGTGCGACACATCAGTGTTGACACCGACAACGACTCGGGCGACGACAACGACGACGCCGCCGGGGGGGTCGATCGGGTGGTGGCGGTGGCCAACCCGCTACTGGCCCTGCCCGGCTGGTCTGAGGGCGAGCCACAGCGCAAGCTCACCCGCAAGATACGGTCCGGCAGCGAGGGCGGCGTGCGCGACATGCGCAGAGACACGCGACAGCGCGGCAGCACGGCTACCGGCGGCAGCGTCGTGCTGTCTCCATCACCGTCAGCGGCCTGCAGTGGAGAACGGCGCGTGAGCATAACCACCTCCGCCGCCGCCATGGGCGCTTCCGGCAGCAGCGCCGCCGGCCGCGAGAAGAAACGGGCCAGCCACAGCCCGTCGGCGCCTGTGGCCGGGTCGCTGATCTCCCTGGCGCCCGTGCCGCCGCCGCTCGTGTCGTTCGACGAACCCGGCGGCGGCTCGGTCGTCGTCTTGGGCAGCGGCGGCACGGGCAGTGGCTCGGCGGTTTTGCTGCGGTCCAGCGTGGGCGCCACCCCGCGCGGCCGGAGCACGTCGGGCTCGCTGACCACCGCGTCGACCGACCCCATTCCCAAGAACCGAAACAACAACAACAACAACACCAGCAACAGCAGCAGCAACAAGAAGCGGATATCGCTCAATCGCATCAACGGGATCAACGCGATGGAGAAGGTGAGCGACATGATACGCAATGTCAAGGAGCGCAAGAACAAGAACAAGCGCTACGGCTCCCTCAACGGCAGCGGCGGCGGCACGGGCAATACGACCGAGCTCGGGTCGCCTAAGGTGGTCGAGTCCAACCTCCAGGCGCACCACGCCGAGACCGCCGCCCAGCCCGAGAGCCCCAAGGACTCGGGTGCCGCGCCGTGGCCGGTGCGCAAGAAGATGGCGGCCAAGCTCGAGGACGCGGTCGAGGCCCGCCGGCTCCTGCAGCAGCAGAAGGGCCGGGGCGACAGCCTCGGCGACACGTCGTCGGGCGACGACAGCAGCTTCGACCCGGACGTGGACGGCGCCACCAGTGCCGCCGGCACGAGCCTGATCGTGCGCAAGCGGTCCGACCCGGTCAAGCTAGCAGCCCAGGAGCGCAAGCGGTCGAACTCGGACGTGGCCAACATGTCATCGTCATCATCATCATCGCCATCGTTCTCGTCATCTTCTTCATCATCGTCTTCTTCGTCGTCGCTGGCCCTCTTGCCCGCGTCGGGGCTGTCGCTATCGGCCAACCTCAGCATCAACACCGCCACCCGGCGGCGATGGAGCCGCGGCAACCGCACGACGACCGCGCAGGCCCGCGGGGGCGAGACCGACAGCTGCTCGTCAGACCAGTCCGACCACTCCTTGGGCTCCTCGTCATCGCTGGAGAGCGGCGGCGCCGGAGCCGATTACCTGACCGCGCACCGGGTCATGACCCGCGGCCACTCCGAGCGTTCGACGTCGGTCGGCAGTGGCGCAGACGAAAAGCACCGGCTGCCGCGCAGGATGAAGTCCGGCTTGCCCGACACCGGCGGCCGAGCAGCGGCCGAGGCCGCCACTGCCGGCGACCAAGAGGCCATCTCGGTCGTGGCCGCCACTGCCGCGGCCTCGGCGTCGGGTTCGGCCAGCGGCGAGTCGCCGGCGTTGGTGTCGACCAACGTGGGCCTGCGGCTAACGGTGACGGGCTCGTCGGGCGAGTTTACGCCTGTGCGCGAGGTGGTGCAGGGCGAAGGCGAGGGCCAGGGCGAGTTGGCAGCGACGCTGACATGAGCCTCGAGCACGAGGTGGTGACCGCCGCCCCCTTTTGTTAGAGGTGGAGATCGACGACGTCGATGACGACCACGGCGACAGCGGCGACAACTGTGACGGCGACGGCGATGGCGAAGCGGATGACAGCAGCAGCGACGACGAACCGCCGGAGGAACGGACAGCCAGCGGCAACGCGTGGTACAGCGAGACCCTGGACCCGGCGGGCCAGCGACCGAGCACTGCCTCGCAGCAGAAGCTGCAGCAGGACCACCAGGACAGGGGTGGCAGGCCATGGCCCGCGGGGCTGCACCCGCTCGACCCGCGGGGCGGGGCGGCCAGTGGCGGCTCGGCGTCGGCGTCGATGCACCGCCGGCCGCTGGCCCACGTGCTCGTCTCGCCGCGGCTCAATCGCTCGGCTCCGACCGCAAGCGGCGACGCAGCTCGTTCGCCGGGCATGGACTCGCCCAACCTCCTGGTACGCCTCCAGGACACACCACTTTTTAAACCCTCTTTTCTCTTGCTCACCGCCGCACACACCGCACACACTCGCGCACAACCGCACACGCACATGCACACAGTCACGTGCGAGGTCGTCGGCCGACACGCGGTCGCCGAAGCTCGTGCGCAGGCACCACTCCAAGACCGACTTGTCTGCCGCCGGCGCGCACCTCCAGTTCGCCGCCGAGCACTCGCCGGACGTCAGCACCAGCACCAGCCCGAGCGAGGCGCGTCACCAATTCCCGCCGCCACCGACGGACTTTGCGACGTTGGCCACCCGCCGGCTGTCGGCGCCCACACGGTTCGGCGCCGGGCTGTGGGACGACGAGGCCTACGACCCCTACGACGACTACTACCACCACCACTACGGCGTGATGATGTGGCAGCGAACGGCGCAGGGCTGGCGCCGCGGGCTGACGCCATCGCCGCCGCCCGCCGCCGTCGCGACTGGTCGTAATCAGCGGCGACGGAGGCGGGCGCTCATGAGGGATCCGTCGGGGTCGCACACGGGGTCGGAGATCTGCGTGAAGACGTCGCGGTCGTCGCCGGCCGTGGAGCTCCTGCCCCGCAGCTTCTCCTCGCCGGCCCTCATCCCCCACGGCCCGCGGCCCAAGCCTCCCGACGCCCATGAGATTGCCGGTACGCGCGCATGCGGGTGTGTGTTGTCTGCGTGTGCTTGTGCGTGTGCGTGCGTTGACGCAACGGGTTTGTGTTGGCAGAGAGCATACTCAAGGGCAACCTGACGGATCTGTGGAGCAAATACCTGTCGACGCTCCAGCCGAACCGGCGGGCGAGCACGGACCTCAAGATCGTGTCGATCCTCAAGGAGCGGATGCAGTCGCTCGACTCGGACGACTCGGACGACATGCTCGAGTACTTCATGGACATGGAGGGCGTCGACGCCGCCGCCGAGCTGATGTCGGCGCGAGCATCGGCGGGGCCGCAGCGACGACCAAGCCTGCCGGGCACCAGCAGCAGCAGCGGGTCGCCGGCGGCGGTGGCGGCGTCGAGGCGGCGAACGCTGGCCCGTAGCAACGAAGAACGCACGACACAAGCAACCACCACGACAGCGGCCGGCAAGGAGGAGGAGAACAAGGAGAAGGAAAAGGAAAAGGAGAAAAAGAACAACGACGATGAAGAGAAAGGGACAGAGAAAGAAGAGGGCAACGTCGACAAGGACCAGCAGCAACGGGAGACGCGGGAACGGATATTTGGATAAAATCAAAACGCAAAAACGAAAT